GGGGGAAGCAAAGCAGACATGGAGGAAGAAGGGGATAGATCATGGTTCTGCGGGGTACAGCACCAGGCTGAACCTGCTAAGCCTCTCTTGCTGCGCCTCTGCGGCTGAAACATCAGGCCCCCGACCTCGTTGATCGACCAATCGTAAACACTTGGACAAGCTGCGAGAATCTGCATATACTGTGAACTAGATGGTATGACGGTAGGTATGTATCAAAAAGTTCCTGTGTATGAGTAAAAGGTCTATTCGTACGCACATGGCTCGGACTCCTCTCAGACCATCATATCGCAGTTCCAAAGAGTAGACGAAGTGTTAGTTCCGACGGCATGCATTAGTGACCAGCATGTGACGACGTCACATTCCGTAGATCATGCAGCGAGCAGTCCGACTCGAGTATCTTCAACAGCAGGGTTGGGTAATCCCATCCTAAACCGGCAGCAGCTAATGCAGTCAGGCTAGCTTGCCGCTCTCTCCCGGGTCTACCAGGGCCTGTCATGTTCTGACCGCACGTCAGCATGTCAGGAAAAGCAAGCGCGTATCGACTTACCGGCTTCATGTTGACGTCGAACAAAGCAAACGGTGACGATTCACTCTCTTCGAATCGGCGAACATCAATTCTCATAGGAGCAGTACACTGGAGTAATTTTGCTACCTCAACACACTGAGACTGTATCTCACTATAGTGTGGGTCAGATTCATGTTCACTCTCAGATAGACATCGTGAATTCTGAAGAACAGCAACTATGCCGTTATACGGTGCCACACCTATCTACAGTCAGCAGAGATTCCTCCAGCTTGATACCTGGGTCCAACAGACCGTCAGCGTGATTGAATCGTTCCACAACTGGCATCGCCCAGTAGTCATTCTGTCCTGTGGCTGGCGAAGGCGGCATCACGCTGACGGTCGCTTCCTGCCCAGCAAGATAGTCTTCGATGATCACGGATGTCTCCTCCTTCAACAAACCACGGCAGTGCTCGTTCAGTTCTTCTGGCGAACGGCATACCTTGACGCCATAGCTACCTCGACCTCGGACAGGCTTTGCAACCACGGGATATTCTAGATCAACTCGAAGAAGCTCCGCAAGAGCTTGCTCGTCGTGAACATCGTAGGCGCTGGGTAGCGTAAAGCCGCCGCGAGCACGGAGAAGATTGTTGACAAAAGACTTATCATCGTATAGTTCGACCAGTTTGGGTGGCTGACCAACAACGTTCAATGTCTTAGCCACACTTGTCAGACTGGGCGATGTTTGCAGTGGATGATTCGCGAAGAGTATGGTGTTCGCCCAGAAGTGTGTTGCTCCCTTCTTGATCGCGTCCATCATTCCACGTTCTGAATCTCCAAAACACCAGTCTGCATCTCTTTCAGGGTCGGGAGCGGAAACTGGGGTGATGATATCTATCGCGCCCTGGTGTTTCAGCACGTATGCGATGTCCGCTCCAGAATCTCTGTACCCTTGGTACAACTGTCAGCCATAGTTGAATCCCCACGTGCAAGATGCACAACTCCGTACCTCCAGGCTTCTTAGGCTTGCGCACTCCGTTGATCAACGGTGGCTCGAGTTCTTGATAGAGCACCGCCACACGTGGCGTGGAGGTGGTCGACATGTGCCGAGAGGCAGCGGCAACTTGCCGAGCTGAGATTTGTGGCTGCGCGCTGCGCTGTGTCAAAGCGATCATGATGTGTGGTTGAGCATATCAGTGTTCTTGGGAATGTTTTAACTATGAAGTTTAAGAGGACAGTCTAGGAAGAGTAGACGCGGAAAGCCGTCGGAAATGTTTCCGAACGCGCCATGCACAGATCATGAAGCATTGCGTTCTGTACAACCACATTCTTGTCTACTACTGTAGCATCACAGAACTACCGCTCTCAACTACCAGCATTCGCGCGGGCCGATTCCGAAATTACTCTTTCGGGTTGCTAGCTAGCCGCGTACGGCAGGTACGCAATTTTAGGAACCTGCGGGAGGATGTACGCAAGTGCGGGTAATTTAACTACGTTGTAGTTTTGTTGCTGAACGACGGATGTAACCCAAAGCAAATAGATAGAGAACCAGGATCAGGTCCCGATCGATACCACCACCGAGATCTGTTTATCGAAGGAACAAACCTTAGCCGAGCACCCCTGTGTTGACCCACCCGCGTTACGTATACGTGTACCCACAGCATGCCAGGAACAGTCGCGATGATTAGTTTGTACAATCCACATGGAGGTACGATGAAGGAGTCCATGTCGGGGTTATTTAATCCTTCTGTCTCCTACTCACGAAGGTCACAATCGACAGCAGCAGCTCACCCGTAGATCTGAACTCGGCGCCTTCAATCATGCTTCTCGGCGCTTTTGCAACCCTCGTAGGTCTCGCTGCAGGCGTACCTTCGAGTTCACATGCTCGTGCAGCGCAAGCAGCTGGAGATCTTGTTGTCACTAAGGTTCCCGACTATGTGCGCCCCTATGTCGTGCGTGCATACTCCCTAGACGGAGTTCGAGTCGGGTCTCAAGTCTACCGCTTCCCGGTTACCGGTCCTTCTTCGGACTACGCCTTCACACTTATCAGCACTGCTGCCCCGGCTAGTACAAGCCTTGGTGTACTGCCTCATGTATGTCTCTATGAAATGGCAAGGTATAGTCAAATGCTAACAGATCAAGACTCACGCGATCCACTACGAGAACTTCTACTGCCTCAAGGGACGGTACGCTCTCTGGACGAGCAAAGACAACGCCACATCAGGAAGGATCCTGACACCGGGTGACTACGGTGCCGTTCCTCATGATACAACCCACACTTTCCAGCTGCTTGATCCATTTGTCGAGCTTGTCGGCGTGATCCAGCCTGGTGGTTTCGAAGACCTCTTCTACTTCCTCGCAAGCGACAACTACACCTCCAGCACCAACTCGCCCTTCCCACAAGGAAACTTCTCCGATCCCGGAGGCGACTCCAGCCTAATCACCACACTCGAGGGCTACGATGTTTACGCAGAGCTGACTTTCAGCCCACCGATGGACTTTGGCGCAAACGGTGCTACTGAGGAGGATGCAATCTGGCACAGCGGCAGCAATGAGCTCGGTAGTGATTCTAAGACACCCTTCTTCATCGCCAAGGGTTACGGACCAAAGTATCTCGCTGGCGACAAAGATTCCTCATACACTATTGTCGAGCCTTTTATCACGACCCAGCAGTCTGACGGCAACTTCACCGAAGGCACCATGACTTTGTCGAAACCTGCCACAGGAGCTGAGCCTGTTATATATTCGCTGCCCGGCCATACTGCGCTTGAAGTCGTTGACGGTCTAGTCAGCGTTGACGTTGGTGGTTTCGAAGGCACTACCACTCTCTCTGTTGGAGATGTTGTTTTCATCCCTGCCAATACTACCTTCAGTTTCTGGGGCGAGTCTGTGTACTCGAAGGTTCTATATGTCGGTGCTGGAACTGATACAGTGGATGCTAGGATCAGGAAGGATGCTAAGGAATGGGATTCAGCTACCTGGCCACAGTAAGCTGTGGCTCGACGTGACTGTGGCTGTAAGAACTGCTGTAGATTTTAGTACTGCATCTTTATTGCCTGGGCGCTACGGGACTGGTGTTGGGAGTGGCGTACCGATAATTGAAGTCGCGCGTGTTGAATAGAGGCCTATGTTGTGCACAAACCATGCAGGATTGAGGCAAGAGGCGAGTTCATCTCTGTCACTTTATATTTGGAAGCCAAGGTGGGGTTCGGGAAAAGAAGAGTACAGAGATGCGTACCTTAATCGAGTCATACCTGAAGATCTTGCAACCTGTGGAAGGCTGAGATGACCGATGTTGTATCCATGGCTGGTCAGGTCTGGAATTTGTGTCGCGCTACCCTACACATGAGAACCGAAAATCCTTCGGAACAGATGCGAGCAAGATAGTTTGCTGTCATTGCAACGTTTCCGCGTCGGTCCTCGTGGGCGTTTGATCGCGCTTGCGTAGTAGAAGCTTACACCCCTCTCCCACGCTAATAATTGCAGTGTAGCAGATGATAAGGCAGGTTTTCGTGTTCATCTTCCGGCTCCCCGTCCCGCCATGTGCATGGTTCAGTCCCCTCCTCCGCGCTAGAGATCGCGGTGCATGCGCATGCACGACACAGAAGGATTGACTACCTATCGTTTGTTCTGAGGGACCCACTATGCGTTACCTGCAGTTTCCCCCTCCCGCGCTAAAGATTGCAGTGCAGTCGACCATTCGTCGCATTCGACCATTCGTCGCTTTCCACCATTCGTCGCTTTCCACCATTCGTCGCTTTCCACCATTCGTCGCTTTCCACCATTCGTCGCTTTCCACCATTCGGTGCATTCCACGCATCGCCGGATTCCAAGCATCGCCGGATTCCAAGCATCGATGAGTTTCACATATTGATAGATTGAGGCACAAACAATCGCCCATTGCCGTACCAATCAGGCCTCTAACAGACCCAAAGACGCATTCTCAACCACTAATAAATACCATGATATGTGGAAAGAGGTCTTGGTCACAGACATTACTATTCCAGCATGTTACGGCATGTTAGCAGAGTGTTCGTCTACTGAAACTCTATCTACCATCATCCCAGAATCCTCTATCTACCATGCAGTAAGCTTAGCTCTTCGTTCCAGACTTCCATTATTTTATGGACATTGCTCTGCATGTTTATCTTTACAAAATGTCAGTCTGATAATGGAAATGGATAAGAGCGCTTGCGACGTGAGAAACACTGAGTATTGTATTTACCAGACTTAAGTTGGTCATTGATCACTTCATCTCGTACAAACTGTAAGACTGGTTTATTACTCCTAGCAGGGCGAGACTTTCGCTTGCAAAAGATTTTAGGCTCAAACTACTGAAGCAGCTGCATCATGATTCGCGCCATCCAAAGCATACAAAGCCACACCGGTACTATACGTCAAGCAGTGAGCGATGACCCTTGTTCTTAGACGTCCTAATCATGATGAGCATTTAGCATCACCCTCATTCTACCACTGAAATATCCACCCAGAGGAGCCCTCAGACCTCTTCGTCAACCAACTCATCGCCAAGAACCTCATCGTCCTCCACTGGCTCAGCCTTAACCCGCTTAGCCAGTGGAACATACTCTTCCTCTACATCAACACTTCCATCTTCATTATCACTTGCCTCAGCATACTTCGGCTTCACCTTTCCGTTCAGACAGCGCTTACCGCGCGCCGCAGTCGGACTCAGCACCTCGTCGTCATCGACAAGACCAGACGGGCCATCACTGTCGACCTCCTCAGAGACTTGCTTCTTCTTGCGGGGGGTCGACTTGGCGCGGGCACGGGGGGTAGACTTTGGAGTATTCGCAGCGGAGGACTTGGACGGCGTGTTGGTGGCGGAATTGAGGTTGGTCTGGCCGGAGACATTCTTCTTCTTCCACGAGTACAAGCGGTTCTCGACAGCTTTGGCTGTGCATTCTAGGTGGGTGTGTTAGTTTACTAAATGGCGAGAGCAGCAGGAGCAGCAGCAGCAGTAGTAGAGAGGAATATTGAGGATGTGGGGCTGGATACGATGCTGGAGGCGGGAGTGGGATCGGATCAGTGAGGGATACACATACCCATGCCAGCGGCAGAAACGCGCTCAGCGATCTTGGTACAAAGGCTCTTGTTGAAGGAGATGTTGCATTCTTCAAAGACGCCGTGGAGAAGCTGCAGGTTAGGTCAACGACAGCGACATCATTGATGCAATTGCGGGGGAGCTGGAAGTGCACTCACGATGGCATCCAACTCTGAGGTCCACTTGATTGGCATCGTGAAGACAAGGGAGAAGTTCTATCAGGCCATTAGCATACGGATGATTGAGCGAGCATTCTGGACTTACAATCTGTTGTTGTGTTTTGTAGAGCAGTTCAGGATGCTGTGAGGCAGGACAGAAAAAGGTTGATGGAAGGTGACGCCAGGCAGTTGTTGGTAGGTGTTGGGATGTAGAAGGAAAGTTGGGGAGGTTGTGAGAATGACCTGGTTTTATACCCTCACTAAGGAGCGAGGAGGATGAGAGCAGGCTGGTGAGCCCAAGTGAAGGTGAGTCCGTCACCCAACCAGGAGATTGGCATCCTGCTCTCACCCTCATCCCGGCCCCACATCAAGGCGATGGGTGACGAACAAAGATGGAGACATAAATTGTAAGACATGAAGGAGCGAGAAGTGAAAAGATCCTGTCTTGTCCAGATTCACGTAGCACATCTCCACGGTCGTTGGCGTGGGATGAGAGCATGAATGCACTGGATGGGGAGCTGGGGTATCGAATGCATATGAAAAAATAGAATAGAAACCTTCCCGCCAACTTGAGATAAGAGAACTAAGAAACAGATCTACCAAAACCTCTCGAAAGTAAACCATTTCTCCGGCGTCTTCGACAACTCCACCCCCCGACTTCTAGCGATGCATGATAAGAAAAACACAGAACTCCTGATCCACCCTTCGTAACTATCTCTGTGCCTCCTCCATGATCTCCTCGAAGGTCCTTTCCACATCCTCATTCCCCTCACTCCCAGCTTCTCCCTCTTCACCACCACCATCCATCTTCTTCACAGCATCTACCTCCACCTCCTCCTCCCTCGCCCCACCAACACCAAGCCCAGGATCCTCCGTCTCCACTGTCCCCCTCTTCCCATGATGCCACTCCTTCCATAGATCCAGCACTTGCTTCTGATTCTTCCTATTCGCCACCACAATCTTTAATTCCTTGGGAATAGGATACCTAGGAGCGCATTAGCGCAAAAAAGAGTCAATTTCCCATGTCTCACGTGTGCGCGAAAAATCCACACCGGAACAGTAAGATATAAACTTACATGCGATCCATGAAATCCTGTTTATCAGCTTGCTTCTCCGTCATCGTCGGTCGCTTATCCATGGTTTCCGCTTCTCGGACAAAATACCGCGCCCAGCGGACTTCGTATGCGAAGACGGAGGAGCGGCGCCAGGGGTTAAGGGCTTGCGAAACGGGTTGGTCTTGTTCGGTCTTGAGGTCCGCTAGGATTACGCGGCAGAGGCTGGTGACGGAGAGGTTGGCGGAGGGATTTTGAGAGCGTGAAAGCCAGAGGGCGCGGAGGCGGTGGACAATGTTCTCGTAGGCGAGTTGGGGGAGGAGGCCACAGGGGGGTAGGGGGGTGCTGAAGAGGGTGGGCACTGTGCGGTTAGTAGGCGTTCCTAGTCGCATAGCGTGGCTCTTTTGGTTCTCATGTGTTTGGAGAAACGGACGTACTGGGTGTATCTTTCTCGAGTTCTTTGTCGTTAGACGCGCCATCAACATCTTGTGGGTCGACAGCCGGTTTGGAATCTTCCTTGGGTATGGCCTCGTGCGAGACGTCGCACCAATCATCATCTTCTCGACTACCTATGTACATGTCAACCTTCGCATTAGCCATAATCCCCATGCCGATCTTGGCGTACCCTGCATCGTCGGTATCTGCTCTGTCGATTCGGCTAGACTGCTAATAAGAAACGAAGGCACCCAGGGCATGCAACGCGATGGTATGAAAAGCCGCGTAATGGAACCGCCGAATTAAACGCGCCGACAGCAAAAGGATTAGAGATCAAGAGTCGAGTTGTTGTGGTTTTGATGTGAAAGCCATAGCATGAGCTAGAGCAACCAAGCAAATAGAAACTCTCCGTTTGCGCGTACCTGCCCGCCCAAACGCGGGTGGTGCAGAACAACAGCTCATGACGTCAGTGCGTGGCTAGACCCTGGAAATTGGTGCGGTATCACGAGACGTCGAAATACGGTTAGGACACTTTTGACTGGAAAGAGGCTTTGGGACGAATAAGACGGGAATACTGGACCATTGTCGCAAACTGGACCATTGCTTTTGACTTGAAAAATCCTCATGAGCTTTTACATGTCTTCCGGCTCATACTGCGACCTAGTCAACTACCCTTTTACAAAGCCTTGCCCATGAACTTCCTCTTGGTGTAGCTCAGCCACCACTTGCTCGGTGTGTTGGTCTCGTCCGCGTACACCCTGTTGAGTAACCGTGTAGCCAGCTCTTGTCGCATCTGCATAATGTACTGTCGCAGCACCTCAGCTCCGTTCCTGTCCGCGGGGGCCTCGAAAGCCTGGTTCAGCGGGAATCCAGCGTCGCCTGGAATCGCAAAGTTGGTGTCGAGCGCAATGTTCATGACAGCCTGTCCGCATGATCAGCTTCCGTCCCGCCTTCCTGACAAGACTTCTCAAGGATACCATACCTTTTCAGCTTCTCTCCGGCTCATGCCCGGCTTGATCTTGCCCAATACCTCGCTGACGTACAGGATGCCATAGATGAGCACGCGATCGGCCGGTCCCTTGATTTCAAAGTTGCGGAAGAATGTGTTGGCGCGGAAGAGGGCGAGGATCTCGTCTAGAGGGTCGTATGAGTCGTGTGAGGCATCGATGGTAAGCTCTGTGACGTCGGCGGGCAGGGCTGGCAGTTGGATGGCAGGGCCACGGGTTCGTGTGCGGAGTGGGAGGAGGGCGAAGTTGCCTGGCGGGCCGTTAGTTTGTGCTGTACATGGCGAAGCTTGAGGGGGCAGCTGTACCAATCAATTGCTGATTGGGCTCATCGAGGAAGACAGAGTGGTAAGCCTGGGAGATGTTAGCTGCCTGATGTCCTCGAATGCATACTTGGAAGCGTGTGTGTTGATTATGTATCTGTGACTTACGGGCATGGTGGGTGATGTTGCCAATGTGGTGTTGTGTCTGGCGGTGTTCTTGTTGTCTTGGAGCTCGGCGGAGGTGACGGGGCAGCTCCGCTTGGTGAGGTGTGCTCGTAGGGCTGACCAGGCGGGGGTGACTAAGCGGCCAATCAACGCGTCTCTGCGCGCGGCGCGTCTCCCCAACTTTCTTGCTAGCAGACTACATACCGCCAATCCGCCAGTTGTACTCCCCAAATCCGACCTCAATATCCAATAAAGCAGCCGGCAGCACCAGTTCAGCCATCGCAATGTCCGACTTCGAAGATGAGATGGACGTGGATGCGCCCGCCGTAGACAACTCTATCACATTTGGCGGAGACCAGAAGAAAGGCAAGAGGAGCGCTGCAAACCTGCCTGTTGAGGCTGAGGACTCTTTGCCATGGTGAGACTCCAGAAGGATCTACTTTCCAGACAGCTGCTGACCATGCACAGGGTAGAGAAGTATAGGCCAAACTCTCTAGATGACGTCGAAGGCCACAAGGATATAATAGCTACTATCAACAAATTCGTAGACTCAAATGTACGATCTGCTTCTCTTTTCACGAAACTCCGCTAAATTCTACAGCGACTGCCTCACCTCCTCCTATATGGCCCACCAGGTACCGGAAAGACGTCGACCGTCCTCGCACTCGCACGTCGCATATACGGGAACAAGAACATGCGACAAATGGTCTTGGAACTCAACGCTTCAGATGACAGAGGTATCGACGTCGTGCGAGAGCAGATCAAAACATTCAGTAGCACAAAGCAGATCTTCGCTGCGGCGCCTAAAGCAGGAGACTCATCGCTTGCGACATTCAAGCTCATCATCCTGGACGAGGCAGATGCCATGACTGCGACCGCCCAGATGGCCCTGCGACGCATCATGGAGAAGTACACCGCCAACACACGCTTCTGTATCATCGCAAACTACACACACAAACTTTCTCCTGCGCTGTTGTCGCGGTGCACGAGGTTCAGGTTTTCTCCGCTCAAGGACCAGGACATCAGGAATTTAGTTGACAAAGTCATCGAGGAGGAGAAGGTCAACGTCACACAAGATGCCACCGACTCGCTTGTCACGCTCAGCAAAGGAGACATGAGGCGCGCGCTAAATGTACTGCAGGCGTGCCACGCATCGAGCACGCCGCTTCAAACACCGGGCAAGCCTGCATCCGACCCGAGCACTATCGTACGCGATCAGATCACGCAGACTACCATCTACGACTGCATAGCAGCCCCGCACCCCTCAGACATCAAGTACATCATCGAGACGTTGCTATCGAAGAACGATATGACGGAGTGTTTGAGGACGGTCAACAACCTGAAGATCATGAAGGGACTTGCGTTGGCAGATATCCTGACGGCGATTAGTGAGGAGCTGGTCAGTAACGACGTTCCACCCCAGGTCATGGTGACGTGGATGGCAGGCCTGGCAGATATAGAGTACAGGTTGAGTGGAGGCGGAAGCGAAGCCATCCAGACAGGCGCAGCGATTGGCGTTGTAAGGACAGGCGTAGAGTTGCTAGAGACGGGCAAGAAGTAGCGCTACCCACATGAGTTGTGGCAGAAGATGCATGCAGGAGTGTTGGCAAAATGATACCATACGATGCGCAGAAGCAATGCGACAAGATTTGAATCGCCGCCGACCAACGATCGAAAACGTGATGTTGTACTACGATAGTGCGGGGTGATTGAGTGTCAAGACTGGAGGGAAGTAGCACGGCCATTGCATGTTGTGGCAAAAGAGCGACGAGAGAGTCTTCAGAAACCGCCGCATTCGCACGCGCAAAAGCAGTTTGACAAGGTTTCATCCGCACCATTGGAGAATCGCAGCTGTGATGTTGTACTACACAAGAGTGGGGCAGAGTGTATCAAGACTCTGAGAATCACCGTGGTGATAGGACGAGAGTCGTGTTTTGCGCTAACCACGCTAGTCAACATTCACGCGACCCGAACGCGCCTTCGGATCGGCGTACTCTAGGATGTATACACGGCGCACGCCACATCAACAATCAACACAACACTCTTACTTTGCCATACTCACACTTAAAGACACGCGAGGCCCGCCGCTTGAGGAAGATACACGCGACTACCATCTCGTATACCAAACAGCCGACACGAAGTCGCGCATGCACATCCAAACCATGCCTGTGAAGGTAAGTCGGCGCGCAATACCAACAATCACGAATCTAATCATAGTCAGCGAAGAGAAGGTCCAACAAAGCAGCGACAAATTACTCTGCGTCGAAGCATCGACCCACTTCCTCTTCTAGCAGCACCTGAACCTACCAAACTGCAAGAGCGTCGCGCAAGCGAAGGGAAGAGCAAGCGACCACCAAGATGGCGAGGCCCCGTACGTACCATTCCTTCCATGGTTCGGAACAAAGTTGACTGACCTGGCTATAGCAACACAACAACACTGGCAACATGCAACAAAGAGCTGCATCAGTCGTGCTACCAGAGTCCAACATGAATCCAACACGTGATGTCCAAAGAAGTGCGTCGCATCAGCCATCGCAATCTCAAAACATCCAACTTCGCTTCTCCTTCTCCCAATCGTTCATTGATGATGTGGAGCGACAACTCCATTCCGAGAACGAGGCTCGCTTCAACCAATCCTTCTCCGGCCTCTCCATGGCCCCCAAGCCCACCCAATCCTTCTCCAGTTCAAGTCCAAGTTCTCACTCCACTGAAAAGGCGTCTCCGGTACAGTATGTGTCGTCGCAAAGGTCCATCTACGAAGAGGAGGAGGTCAAAGCTCCCGTGTTGACCAAACCGGGGCAGAAGAAGAAGGAAGGCTATGGCTTCAGCTACTCGGAAACCTTCATGTATGATTCAGATGACTACCCGGATACGGAGTGTGAGTGGGATCCAGATGCAGAGGAAGAGCAAGGGCAGGAGACGACTGAGCCGAATACGCCGACTACGCCGACGTCGTTTGGCAATACTGAGTATCTGAATTGGGACAGTGGAGAGGAGGTTTCACGGATACATGAAGTGCAACATGTTGTGCAATACTCACAGCCGACACAACAGCCAACGCCCCGCCAAAGCTTCAGCTCATCAACAACCAACGCGCCGTCTTTTGACGACCTCGTCGTCCTTCGCGACGTAGGTTCCTTCCACCTTGCGCGCCCGCAACGACACCTTTCTTGTACACACGCAAGTCGAGAAGACACAATCCAACTCAAAGCACGCGCCCAGGCTCTCCTCTCTAGATACACCGAATCTGCCTCCATTCAACTCTCCCTTCTCACCCGTCTCGAACGTATGCTTTATCTTGAGCAAAGGAAACCAGATGCTACGGAAGATGGCGTCACGAAGGCTTTACTGCCTTGTGCGGAGAGATTGGAGAGGTGGCTGGTGGGGAGTAGAGAGGAGAGAGTGGCGACGGGGGAATGGAAGGGGGTGGTGGAACATGAGATTGAGTGGGTGGGGTGGATGGTGGAGGCGGGGAGGAGGGGGGTGTTGCATGTTAGGGGGAGGGGGTGTCGGTGTAGACCGGAGTGGGAGGGGGTTTGATGGTTGGGGTTGGGGTTGTGTAGGATAGGAAGTTTGGGAGAGCTGGTGAGGCTGCGATAATGGATTGTTGGCAGATACCAGTTTTGTTGTGAGTGTTTGCAGGTGTAAGCATCTCTGACGTTTAGTGAAAGTTCAACGAACAAGGCAGGATCATAGGCGACGAATGCAACGCTAACACGGTGTTCCACGCTAGTATACTCACAGGATCTCATAAAAGCACAGAAGATTCTTACACAATGCACTGCAATTTCTAGCGTGGAGCATCAGATCGAAACCACGCCAACGGAGGCGGGACGGGATGGCATGGAAAGCTAGAGTCCAATAGCTCAACAACTGAAATGCGATCTACAGCGTCAGAAGCATCATTGCGTCAGAAGATGACTTCTGAAGCGCACTGCAACCTTTGCACTGCAACCTTTAGCGTAGAAGAGCAGATGTAAGTATAACGGCATCGACCAATCGTTTCCACTAGAGTATGAGTGGCACATGAGGAATCCTGGTTGTTCTGGTCAGTCACTGTCGCACAGGCCTGACCGGTGAACCCAAACAGACAACTATTTGCAGAAAACGGATGTCGCTAAGCCTTCCAGAAATTTTGCCTCGCACCATACGATTTGCACTGCAATTCTTAGCGTAGAAGAGGAGCTGTACATGCATGTCAGATGCGCCTTGTCTTAGCCGATTGCACGATCGCTGAAGGCGCAGCTTCTTGCACTGCAATTTTAGCGTCGAAGAGGAGCTGTATATGAAAGGCAAATGTGCTATGTCTTACTAAAGCCGGCCAAACATTGATAAAGTCATCGAAATACTAGGGCTTGCACTTTAATCTCCAGCGTGGGCGAGTATGTGTGAGGACGCAATACTCGGTTGATCTCTCGCCCCACTAGAAGGCGGAGGGAGGGGTGTACTATTGTGCATACTGCACTGCATACTTCAGCATAGAAGAGGATATGTAAGCCATAAGCGGAGTAAGGCTGCAACAGCTATGATCTGTGATCGCTGTTTGTACTGCGACCCTCAGCGTAGACGAGTGGATACGTAGGGATTTGACCAAGCAGGTAGTTATCCAGCGATCTGGAAACATCAAGAAGACCCAAAGACCCCATCTCAAAGATGCTGTGCTATGGTTCAAGTGTAGGTCTTAACAGATCGGGACCCATACTCCGGGGACGGCGGTCCTACTGCGGGACGGCGGACCCAAAATTTTGCACTGCAATCTTTAGTGTAGAAGAGTAGGCGTAGGTCTGAGGATATGGACCGGTGATGTCCACCAAAGTAAGAGTGGCACAGGAGGGATCCTTGTCAGTCCGGTGAAGGTAGCTTGCACTGCAATTTCTAGCGCTGGCGAGCTGATGTGTATTGGAGTCCTTAGCATGCAGGACGACAGCATATTCAGGTAGCAACTCGCCAGCTAGTGCCCGTCCTGGTAGCCTGCCTCTAGCGTTGCAGAGAAAGCCAGACTTGAGCTAATGGTGGGAAGCCCTCCTTACACAACAACAAGGCCTCTAATAAATATTCTAAAGAGATAGTCTTATTCGCAGTACTCTATTGTATATTCTATCCTTTTATTAGGATTTATTAGCCGTGATGTGGTGAGTAATTAGAAGAAGAGGCCGAATTAAAGCTGCTCTTACTTCCGGCTTTTTCTGCAACGCTAGAGCCTGCATTGTAATCTCGAGCGCGAACGAGTATGTGTGAGGATGCAATCCCCTGTCAATCCTTCGCCGCGCTGCAAAGCACATTTCGCTCTCAACACCAGAAGTTTCAACGAACGAAGAATCGTAAGCGTAGGACATGCCGCTACCGGACTGCTTAGCCATGCTTTCTTTCAGTTCAAGCATAGAGACCATGGTGAGAGCATTCCATAGACTGGTGTAATAGTGTCTTCTAAATGTTAGCAATGCTCTGAAGATATCCTAAGTCTAATGCGCGGGCGCCACCAACTACAGTCTTGGGTGTGCACTGCAATCTTTAGCTCATGAGAGCAGCTACCTCGATTGAGGCGCAGCCAATCAATCCTATCAGGCATCAGTAACTATATCACACAGCAGTTTTCTCACTGCATATCTGGCTTGCACAGTGCACGCATGCGATGTAGTCGCGAACCCCTTGGCGCCTGTGAAGATACTTCACCAGACACCACTGCAACTTTGTACTGTGATCCCTGGTGTCGTGAAGGACATACAATCTCCAGCGCAGCAGAGCGGGATTGGGCAGAAAAAAAGTAATAAGCTCGGCGACCGCGACGACGCGTGGAGGACAAATCAGGTCGTCTGCGATTGGTAAGGATTTCCCCCGTCTCATCGGTGAGAGACATTTTGCGGACTGCGTTTGCCTTGATTCGCATTCCTGCAACCCTTTCCACCGGTGGGACTGCTGCCTGCTCTTTTGCACTGCAATCTTTAGCGTGGACAACCATCTCGATGACGTGTCCCGCTAGGTCTCTAGAATGATGAAAGGCCAATGGTTGTGGGTAGCTTTCGGCATCGAATCTATAGAGTGAAAGAGGCAATGCCATCCTGAGCTTCCAGAATTTGTGCTTCACATGCAACGTGGTCATTGATCTTTCAATTTTACCGTACATTTGCAGGATCAATCGTATGCTGTAGCTGATGATTTGGTGGTCTCGAGTGGCGAAGTGGTCTCGAAGAGGCGGGAGAGGTGCTGTACTTCGACAGGCGCCAAGATCTGATCTGAACAAGTGCGGGGTAGAGCCGAGCTCTTAAAAAGTGGGTGCGCCCGGATGGCTGCATCGCAATCTCCGTTCTGCACAAGAGCACACCTTCAGCAGTCCAGGATCACCGGCACGGTCCGCAGCCACTTCCTACATACGAAACCGCGAAAGAGAAGCTGTTCGTTTACACGACCAGCAAAAGAGTCAGGATCGGGCGATAGTTCTAATGTTTGCATGACAAGGCCCACATGCAATATGAAAGTCGATTTCAATCGATCCTTCAAACGTGGACCTTTGAGCAAGCAAGATCTCGGTCAAACAGGTTCAGCATCTCTGGTGGGATAGCAGGATTCGGGCTATCGAAGATGGACCCTTGTGGGCTCATAGGCCTTTCCACCGAACGAACACATGGCACAAAGCTACATCGCGTTATGCAGAGCGCCTGAGACTTTCTCTTGATTTTTCGACCGCTCACCCACACATCGCCTTGTGACCGCTGGCAACAGGAACGAAACTGCCCTGTCTGAAGAGCTTGAGGCACTTCCTAAATGGTGTACTGCAGCTCTCGGCACGGATAGCAGGTTTGGGTGACGCGTACGTTCTAGCTAGTTGTTCCGCACGATGCAACCTTCTCTCTAGAGCATGGTCGATGAAACCTGCACGCGTAACCGGTCAGTACTCCCTGTAATGGAAACTTTGGCGCAGAATAGGCGACACTTGTGCCTTCGAAGACAAGATGCCAGCATGAAGTGCATCTCTAAGACGGCAACTCCTAACCGAAAGGACCAATCACGCCACCGTGCGAATGACGGACGACCTACACTCATGTAGGAATTTGGAGAGACGGAGTGAACTGATAGATTAGCATGCGTTAAGTTGATCCAATATGCATAGCACAGGCAACTGCCAAGTGACCATGTACCCACTGATCTCGCATCGACACCGCAAGTAATAGATCATATCGACTATCAACAATTGCGTCGTTGGCTGCGAGGAGAACGGGAGCGGGAGCAACCGCCATCCGACACTAGCGTCCCTATCGGAGATTTTGACAGAGACCGTTGCTCAAGTCTAGCGGCTCGGGTGAGCTCTGGTTCCGAGCGTTCTGCCAAGTCCCGATCACTCGTAGAGTCTCGTGGTTACTGATCGGGTCCACCTCCTGCTCAACACGAAACGTTGCAAGCGACATATAGCCACCGTTGATCTATAGACGTCATGGATGAGCAGACGAAGGACAGAGACTTTGCATCTGAAGTGGCCTTGGTGCATGGTATATATTAGTTGCTTTCTGCTGCAACATAGTCTTACCGTCATCGATCACCCACACCATCAACACCGCGTCTTGTGTCTGAGAAACAGAGTTGTTGCATCGTTAGCAGCCTCATAACACGACCAGGATCCTGCAACCCTTCGATAATCGCGGTTGCCATGTCGCTTCATCAGTCATTAGCTGCTACATTGCTGCTCTTTGAAATCGTACGTAGTTTTGTCTGGTGCACGCAAATACATTCTGATCGTTTTCCTAGGCTGTGGTCTACGCAGTGGGCCTTGCAATCTACAGGGTTTACTTTCACCCTCTTCGCAAGATACCCGGACCGAAACATTATGCCGTATCTGGACTCCCCTTGGCCATCGAGAACTCGTTCAGAGGTCTTTTTACCAAAAAGGTTCTCCGCTTTCATGAGAAGTATGGCGACATCGTTCGTACAGGGCCAAACCATGTTTCAATGAACGGAACCATTGGATGGCCTGAAGTTTTCGGCCATAGTCGCGGCGGACGACCTGAATTTTCCCACTGGCATGACTTTTACCAGATTGGGGACAAGTCGCACCAGTCTCTTTTCCCTGCTGATAGAGAGAGCCACCGACGCCAACGCCGTCTCCTGGCACATGCCTTCTCTGATGCTGCCATCAAGGAGCAGGAAGCGTTGATCAAGCAGTATGTTGACAAGCTCTTTGTGCAGTTACGCAAAGAGGCTGCGAAAAAAGAACCGGTTGATATGCTCAAGTGGTACAATTTCACGACTTTCGACATCATTGGGGACCTAGTCTTTGGGGAACCGTTCCATTGTCTGGACAACAGTGATTATCATCCATGGATTGCCATGATCTTCGCGGGCATCAGAGCTGGCTCTGGGATGATGGCTCTACTGAAGATGCCTTTGCTTCGTTGGGCTCTCCCACTACTGGTGTCCAAAGAAGACATCCAAAGGCGAAATGAACACAAGGCGATGAGTAAAGTAAAAACCGAGCGGAGAACAGCACTTGGCCCTACGCCCGATGGCCGAAAAGACATCATGACTTACATCCTTCGTCACAACGATGAGAAGGGCATGAGCCATGAGGAGATCTTAGGAAATTCGGACGCTTTGATTGTAGCTGGTAGCGAGACTACAGCGACCGCGCTCTCTGGCTTGACCTACTGGATAACTACCAACCCGCAAGCTTTGAAAAATGTTCAGGAAGAGGTCAGAGCAGCCTTCAGATCCGAGGAGGATATCACCATGGTGTCTACTGGGCAGCTCAAATATCTGAATGCCTGTCTCGAGGAGGCTATGCGGATGTATCCACCTGTTGTAGAGACGCCCCCGCGTATCTCTCCAGGGGAGTACGTCAACGGCCACTACATTGCTCAAGGTGTAAGTCAAACTTCACTGTTGCTTTTGCGTCGCCCCAACTCTCTCCCATTACCCATGCGGTCTTCCTATCAGATTGCGAACATTGAAACGAACAAACATTAACGGATATTTCTAGACTTTCATAACGATCCACCAATGGGCTGTTCACCATAACCCCAACAATTTCGCTCAGCCAGATACCTTCAAGCCTGAGAGATGGCTAAGCCCCGATCATCCTTTGTACGACCCGCAGTTTAGCGCAGACAAGAAAGGGGCTTTCCAGCCCTTTTCTTTTGGCCCACGAAATTGCATCGGCAAGAACCTCGCATACGCTGAGCTTCGACTCATCGCTTCTAGGTTCTTCTGGAACTTCGACATCGCACTGCACCCCGAAAGCAATAACTGGCCAGATCAGCAGAGAGTGTTTACTCTGTGGGAAAAGATCCCGCTGATGGTGCAGCTGAAGCAAGTTGAGAGAACTTAAAGAAACAGGCAACTATTCCAAGTCGTCTGCCAGGCAGTGTGTTTCCGATCTTCGTCTTTCGGTATTTCGGGTGCGTCACCGAGACCGTGAGGTGTAGCATGTGGCTCAGAGTAGCGCGTCATGTTTGCATTGGCAGATACAAAGAAAGCAGAAGGTATCAACAAGAATGTAAAGAGTCTTTTTACTTTGAGCTTTAAACTCCGAGAAGGTTTTGTTTGCTAGGTCGCTTGTAATTGCAGTGCTTGGTAATCAGGACGGCAGCGCTGGTTATATAATTTGTTACGGAGTGGCATGGGGTAGAGCTTAGAAATCTCAGCGCCCAATGACTGTGACCACCACACTGACTCAGACATGGTTCGATAGATTTCATACATTGCTTGCTGTGAAATGTTCGGTGTGTACAGGGCGCAAGCCAGTCTCTTAGTGCTATGCTTCGGGCCTAACAAAATCCTCTAAACTCGAAGCGGCAACAATGTCATCACACTAATTATCCCGTGACAAGGATAGTCACACGTGACTTTCCTGATCACATTTCTCCAAGAAGCGGTCCTGGCGACCGGTGATAGGATACGGCTTCAGACTGATCACCGGAAAAGGCGAAGGCGGAAAGAAAGAAATCCAAGCTATGATTTGCGATGAGCTGCAAGTACAAATACCTCGAGGAACCATAAGGTAACGCAGAAATAGCAAGTCATTTTGATGAAGATGTCACCTTTGCGTCGAAAGTTCGCACTCACGGCATTCTGCTTATTGAGTGGACAAGCTGCATTCGCAGCATCGCTCCTCAACCTGCAGGATCTGATAGTCGATCTAGGCTATGGCGTCTACCGGGGCGCTTACAACTCAACTACACATCTCGATATTTGGAAAGGGTATGTCGAACTTAGCATCACACGGAGACATCTGTCGTGAGAAGTCCTAGTATGCTGACCACTGCCATAAAGCATTCGCTACGCAGCACCCCCAGTTGGTGACCTTCGCTGGCGAGCACCAGCGGCCCCTGTTGTCTCTTCAAGTGACATAGTGGACGCTATCGAATTTGCACCAGGATGTCCTCAAGCCGCTCCTGCGCCATTTCCAGTTATTCCGGCACCATCGGGTAGTGAAGATTGCTTGTTTCTCAACGTGTATGCGCCTAGGCGCAAGGAGAAAGCTAAGCTTCCAGTGCTTGTTTGGATCCATGGTGGTGGTTACGGGTTTGGAAACGGGCAGCAGGACATGACTGAGATCATCAACGATAATGGAAACAGTTTTGTTGCTGTCTCTATCCAATATAGAGTAAGTCTATACTCATGATGCAAATATCATTAACTAAGTTATTGAAGCTCGGTGCCTTCGGGTTTCTCTCGTCCACTGAGATCCAGCAGGATGGCTCTCTCAACGCCGGTATCCTCGATATGTCTTTCGCCCTGCAATGGGTGCAGGATCACATTGATCAATTTGGAGGTGACAAGTCGCGAGTCACTGTTGCTGGTCAAAGTGCTGGTGCCGGTGGTGTGATGCTACTTGGTATCGCGAAGAATGGCGCCCTAGGTACTTCGCTATTCAGCAACGTAAGCGGTCCTTTGACTACATTAGGGTCCCTGCTAACAATGCATCAGATTATCGCTGCCTCGCCCTATCTTCCACCACAGCACAAATTTGATGCTTCAGCCCCAACACGACAGTATGAGAGCTTTTTCACTCGGGCTGGATGTGCGAACTCTACCGAGACGCTATCCTGTCTGCGCAGCAAGGATTCCATCACACTGCAGACCGCAAACTCAAACGTGAACGCTGCCAATTCTTATGGTCATTGGGCATTCGCTCCCGTTACAGAACCAGAATCTGGCTTCATCAACACTCATCCAAGTGACTCCCTTGCAGCAGGACTCGTCAATGGAGAGAACATCCTCGTCGGCAACAATGCGAACGAAGGTCCCCTCCTCGTCCCCACCATTGATAGTACCAGTGCACTTCAAGCATGGATGCAAGGTGCTTTCCCTTCAGTTACCTCAACAGAATTCGAAGCCATCCTCGCCGCCTATCCGCTATCGAATCTGACAAATAACGATACATTCGCAACCACAGGCTTCGGCCCAGTGACAGCCCTGACTACTAGCTTATTCGCCTCAGGCATACAACAGCGTGCATATAATATCTACGCCGAAGCGACCTTCGTGTGTCCGTCATACTGGCTCAGTGGCGCCTTTACAACAAACAATCGCACCGCATTCCACTACCAGTACTCTGTACCTGGCGCGCTACATGGCAGCGATGTGACCGCGTATTTCGGCCCTGCAACGCCTAGCCAGCCACGTTCCTTCACTACTGTTTTCAGACAGATCTGGGGCCAATTTGTCACGGCAGCGAACCCGGCTACTGCAAAGGGTCTCACGAATCTCACATGGCCGACATGGGAAAAAGACGGACATGGCAAGATGCTCAATCTCAACATCACAGGCGGTGTGCCTTCCTCTGCTCCACAATTGACAGGAACTACTATCACAGAGTATACAGACCCTGGGCTGCAAAATCATTTTACCGTTATCAACGCGCTAGAGTGGGAAGGCAATAGAGGTGCGAGATGTGAGCTGTGGAGAAGTATTGCTAGTAAGGATGTGGAGAGGAATTGAATTCTGTGCGATAATTTTCAGCAGGACGGTTACGGCTGCTTCCCTACGAACGATCGAGCATATCATACGTAATATATGACCAGCATTTCTTGCATCAACAACGCGCCACTTTTGCAGATGACGATGTAGTGTCGCTTGCACTGCAATTCTTACCTTAATAGAAAGGGTGCAGTGGTCGCCTGATTCTCAGACCACACAAGAAGCGCTTCTCCGTGCTACAGACTGCAGTACACAACACCCATAAGCAATGCAGGAAGATCGAAATACTGTGCTAATCCTGATCGCACAAAAGAGGATTTGTGGCCTGGTATTGGCCTCCAAGTTTTGTAGTGAGGCAGAGTGGACGAGTGTGGCTGGCGTCCTGCGTCACCCACATCAGTCCTTGACGTAGAATTCGGAACAAGGTGTCTCCTTATGGTGTGTTCGATGTTGGTGCGTAAGCAAATGCCCTCTGTTCTAGCACAAGATCGCAGTGCGCAGCACATGCCACCTGGCCAATCGAAGGCGGTGCCAGTCCAGCACAGAAGGCTATGACCACTTGGCGGCTGAGATCATAGCGGCGCAGCTGATTCCAGTGAGGCGCGCGTCAGCACGTGTGCGGTATCAGTGTGCGGTGTCAGGCACTTGAGCACGAATTACTCGCTGGTTGGTCAATCCATCTGATAAATATTCTTATGAGGCTGAACGCATAAACGGCTATAAAGTGAGATAGGCTCATCCAGTTGTAGCAACGTGATCTCGGTTCAGATCACGTCTTCACTGGCCTTGTTCCTTATTCGGTATTCGATTAAGGAGCTTGCACCCTGCTGTCAATTCAAGTAATGCTTGATCAGAAGGAAACGATAGCCAAGTTCTAACACAGGTATCGTGAATCGATTTCCAACTTTCGCGTCAAATCGATCGGTGCCCTTTGTAACTTCAGCAAGTGCTACGAAAAGCGATTCGCTGTACATTGCAATCCTGCAGTTAGCCACTTTGAATGAGATTAGCTCTCTCAAGCTTCGTGTTCTGTAGTGATCGCATATCCTTTCGATGTTAGTGACGAAAAGCAATCTAGACCGTGCCACCTCACCTGCTCCACTGTTTGTTCCACAACATAACGCGTGACCAACACCGTCTGCTTTTGGCCAAGACGTAAAGCTCGCGCAACAGCTTGATTTTCAACAGAAGGATTCCACTGAGGTTCGACGATAAAGACACGGTTTGCCGTTGCAAGGTTGAGCCTAGAAGACACTGTCAGTCTGAACGGACAACAATGTCGAAGATTGTTACATACCCTACAGCGCCTGTTCCAGTAGTCATGATGAGTACCCGCAAGTTCGGGTCTTCTGCGAATCTTTGTAGGATGCGTTTACGTTTAGCCGTTGAGCACTCGCCGTCAATTCGCTCGTGGGTCCATGTATCATTGGATATATGGCGGAGGTAGAACTGCAGCAAGTCCAGTGTTCGCGTCCAACATGTGAATATGATACTGCCAATCTGTTAGACTCAGTAGAATGATTCATGAGACTACCGCAAGTACCTTTTTGTGTTCCATACATCAACGGAAACATCTTCCATCAAACACTCCATCTTCGAGGATCGCCCGTTGGGTCGAAAGTAGGTATCCTCTTGTGATGCGTGATTGGAGCGTGGCGCTCCGGAGTTAGCGTCCCAAAGTGGTTGACAGAGGGGACACCTGCTGGGCAGGTTTTCCTGATCATTCGTCATGCTTGTTGAAAGACATTCTATACAGAGTACGTGCCGACAATGTTCCGTGTAGCGACGGAACAACGTACCAGTATTAAAAAGAGGCAACGTCTGTCGACACGCAGAGCAGGTGAGTTCGCCATCCCTTCCTAATGACGCCTCCACAGCCTCTCTTTCGTCCAGAAGGTGCAATTTGCGCCGATTCCAGGAGAATGGTTGTTGCCAAGTGCCATGATTGCAGATGATACGTAGTTGAAGCTGTACCTGGAACATGCCTAACGTGCTCTTCTGATCAAACACACCATTCTGGTTCTTGATCGTCCGAAACATGATGTCATAAGTTTGCTTGTATTGAGTCTGCTCTTCTGATGACAGACGAATCTTCCTCACACGATGTTCTTCGTCCGGCAAATGAAGTACATCTTTAGTCCGGCGAAGACACAATGAGTCCAAGAGGCGTGTGAAACGTTCGATCGCCAGGCTACGCCGCTTACTGCCTTCATCGAAGGGTATAGCGATGCACTTCCGAAAGTTCGACAAGCTGTGGAATGGGCTAATTCTCAGGAAGGCGAACAAGGAGCCGATATCCTCTAGACGGTTTTGTATAGGTGTGCCGGTAAGACACCATCGAGATCGGGCTGAAATCTCAGCTACAGTGCGATACAATACTGTGGACTGCCGTCTTATGATATGAGCTAGAGTATGATTGTTAGTAGAACACAATGACTGGTGTGTGGGATAGCAACCTTCGTCAAGCACGAGGCGATACCACTCTATGTCCCTCAGCGCACCTTTGATTCCAGCGAGATCTGATGCGAGCGTATGATAGGTTGTGATGACAATATCTGCTTCGACGAACCTATCTGCCGAGGTGTGTCGATGAGGACCATGATACTTGATGACTTTCAGAACTCCACGGGAGGAGTCGTTAAAGTGCCTTCAACCATCAGTTTTATACCCATGTTCACGCGATGCTATATACTCACTTGTCCAGCTCTTGGAACCACTCGTTGATCATGACTATACGAAGCCTCTCAGAGTCTGTGATCGGAACAATGCAATGATTAACTTACGGTCCGATGATGCGACAATTAAGGTCGCTCCAGAGTGGTGCTTGCACCTTGCTATCTGCGACGATTCGACGTCTGGAATCTCGTTCTGAATTTTCCAGCTATGTGCAGCATTCAGAGTTCGTATGATTAGGGCTAGTATGGAGAGCGTCTTGCCCATTCCCATTTCATCTGCGAGGATACCACCGCCTGTTTCATCAGGTTTAAACATGCCAACAGATTCGTTAGTATACTTTGAAGCTTCCTATCATGGACTAAAGAACCTACAACGCGCGTTCGAGACTGCATGCCGGTAGCTGTAATTTCGATCAGCAAAAGCAATCCAGCTTTTTTGCCACATACTAACCATTGCACTCCTTCCTCTTCGATAGCTTTCCACAGCGTATACTTCTCTGGTATTGGACCGTCTTCGCGCTGCATCATAAAGGCAAGCGCTGTCTTCTGATGCCTGTGTCGCTTAGCATGGGATTCTGGAATGAACTCAACTCGCGGACAGTGTCTTGCGTGCTCTGCAGCAGCGGGATTACATACAACAAGAGTGTGGTATTGAGACGCTCGTCACCTTCCAGCCCACTCAGATCACGATCGCGTGTTAGTGACGAATATACGTCTCGAATCGTGTTTTTAAACGACCGTAGGCTAGGATTTTCGGGCACAGTCTCTCCTAGTACTGGCCTTGTCACCGTCATTGAGCCCTCAAACTCAGGCAGCGTGAGCATATGAGGATTACTATATCTAGCGCCGTCTCTGATGTACGCAGGACGCTGAAGGTAAAGCTTATGTTGGGAGAGTTCTCTTCCAATCTCGTCAGCCGCTGCTGACGGGCCATACACGTTCACTTGAACCCGAATCACAGCTTCTTTCTCTCTTGTAGCTCGACCTATAGTTTCCTGGAAAGCTCTTGTCGGAGCAAAAACTTCGAGTTCAAGCTCATAACCCTGTTCTGCAATGCTAGTGAGTGCTTTATCCAGCTGCGCATTCACCTCTCCCACCACTGCTCCGTCTGAGAAAGCGACCAGGAATTGAGCTCCAGGCCTGATGATCCCCAGCTGAGAATGTCCATGAAGAGGTGATGGCGCAATCATATTGAGCTTCTTGTTGAGCTCTATCATGTTGCCGCAAAGCCGTACGGCAGCTCTGAACACCTGGATGCGTGTCAGTTGATTGTGGACGAAGATTGGTCGTTATTAGCGACGGCGCTGGGTCGAAATAAATCCGAAGGAACCTACCATACAGATCAGACAGTATTTTACTTACCATGCCATAACATATATGTGCTTCCTCGGGTGGAAGTTTATCCAGAAGTCGATGACACGCATCTCCGGTCGTCCAGTCCTCGATGTCGGCACTGGTTTCCTGGAACGAGCTATACAACTCAATCTGATCTTTGTCGAGACCAAGGTCGCATTGTGCAATCTGGGAGCCAAGAAGATCGTCCAGGTATTGGTCCCATGACTGAGTTGGCAAAGCCGCTATGAACCTACAATCGTCAGTCTTGCTTCAACAATCACAGAACGTCGACTACATACTGATCTGAATCGTCATCTCTGTTGAACTGCAGATGCGGTCGATAGTTGTTTTGGTAGTCGTTGCCGGCATCCTCGTTGTTCAGTAGGTGCTTCAGCGCCATCTGGACCTTGGGTGTGATGTAAGCGCGTTGTACGCTAGCGGCTTGGCAAACGCGCTACTTGCACAAGTCGCCTCGAATCGGTGAAGACGCGCAACTTCAATCAACGCTCAAGATCTGTCTGAACAGAGGGTGAGGGGCACTGCCAGATATGCCTGAGGGATGGGCGCATCTCAGCTCGGTGCATGCGGAAGGCTATGTTGCAGCCTCCTGCATACCGGTGAGCCACGCGCAGCGTTTCAGCCTTGCTCCGCCCCCTCCATAGCAACTTTGCTTTTTTACCCACGACTTTCACACCTGGTTTATACTTACCGCAACTGCACCAGATTCGATTGCATATCACGACTAGTATCAGATGGGTGTATTGACGTGGTGACTGAGTATCGTGAATGATGGCGACCCCGATGCCTTCTCAGCAAACTAGTCGCACCTCGACCACTGCATTTTCTCAGCAGCCGACATTGATTGGAATCACATCTCCACCACCACGTGCTGTTGGATCCGCCCTTGACCGAGCCATCATCCAATTCCGCAATCGACTCAATGGCACAGAACTTATGGAGTTCAAGGGGACTACGCACGACAACCTGTGCGAAGAGCTTCTCAAAGTTCAAGAGAGGCAAGAGGCTCGCTTGGAGACGATGAATCTTGCTCGCATCAAACATTGTCTCGAAGCGATGCACCAATTTGGCCAAGTCATCGAGATCTTCCTCAATGTTTCGGATGCAGTCGCGTTCGTCTGGGGCCCGATGAAGTTCCTCTTGTTGGTGAGTATGCTGACTGTGTAGAGTAGTGCTTCAGTTGACAGACAGAACAGACAGCAAGCACGTTCGCGGACTCTTTTGATTTGCTTTTGGATGCGTACGAAAGGATTGGCGAGCAACTACCTTTGTTAGCAGAATATCACTCATTGTTCAGCAACTCACCTCACATGATTGATGCCTTAGAGTTAATTTATATCGACATACTGGACTTCCACCAACAAGCGTGCAAGTTCTTCTCCGGCAGATGTGAGTGATAGCGCATCAGTCACTTTCATTTCTAGACACTAACGACGATTCAGTGTGGGTTCGGTTTTTCAAGTCGATGTAGGTGCTCCTCTTACGTGAAGGTCTAGTAAGCCTGTGCATACACCTGACCCTGAGATACAGGTGGAAGAACTTCCATACCAGGTTCGATGGGATTCTAAGCAGTCTTCGCCGTCACAAAGACATTGTAGAATGCCGTGCTAACCTCGTCCAATACCGCATCTACCAAGATGATGTTGCAAGTTTCAAAGCAAAGCTCGAGGAAAGCGTTATGCGAGAAGAAACCAAGAACCTAATGATTGTCAAGGAATGGCTCAGTGTAGGAGAGTTACCCCAACTTGATCATGCTAGCTACTGCAAAGTTCGAGCAGATCATGCTACTACGACCAAGTGGATATCGCAGCACAAAACTGTCAAACATTGGATACACGCCGATATACCGAGAAGCCCAGTCGTCTGGATGTATGGAATCCCTGGTGCTGGTTAGTATGCTCAACGCGAACATATCCTAACGCTGATAAGCAATAGGAAAGACAATACTATCATCGGCGATCATTGACGAGTGCAAAACTCGATCAGACTTCATGACTTGCTATTTTTATTGCCACGATGGCGATCCAACGAGTAGCACTGCAGTCGGTATATTGAAGGGACTCGCTGACCAACTGTTGGATCAATACCCGGACATGTTGCCTCCTTGTTTCACAAGACGTAGAGCGAGCGGAGAGCCATCTCTGAGGTCAATCATCCACGCGAAGAAGCTCCTAGAGGACTTCTGTAATACCATACCGAAACTCTTCATCGTCATCGATGGATTGGATGAATGCGAGAAAGCAGAAAGGAATCAAGTGCTGGACATCTTGACTGAAGTCGTAGGGTTCCGTGACACGGTCGACCCAGGCACACTTCGTCTTCTCGTTGCTAGCCAAGATCTTGTTGATATCAGAAAAGGCTTGAAAAGCTCTGCAGCCACCAAGGTCGCACCAACCATTTTACGAATCTCCGAGACGGATAACGAAGGTGATATCCGAGCTTTCACCAGATTATGGGTAGATAAGATCGCGTCAAAATTCCCGCCATTTTCAGAGGACATGAAAGAATACCTTCAGAATCTTACAGTAGTCAATGCAAAAGGTAGGCTGTGAGCCGCTAGAGCGAAGCTGTCATAGTCTCTGACATTGTCACAGGCATGTTTCTCTACGCCAAGCTTGTATTAGTTGACTTTTATGCTTCGACTACATTAGCAGAGCTCAAAGACGCTATCAAGACCGAGAACTTTCCACTTGAGCTTGCAGACGCGTGAGTTTTCCCAAAGTCATGTGGAGACGGACAGCGGACCAATATATACTCCGGCATCAGACAATGGGCCTGTGTTGACGAACTGGCAGATACGAGCGAATCCTGAGACGCATCAAAACTACATCTGGCAGGGGTTGGCCGAAAGCAAAGAAGCTGCTTGGATGGTTTGTGTTTCTCAGCTCGAATATATGTGGATCGAAAGCTAATAACTGTTGATATCTAGGTTGGTTTGTGCTAAACGCAGGCTCACATGGAAAGAGATGCAAGTTGCGCTTTCGATCGATTCAGAGAGGCAGATCATTGATTACGAGAACCAGCGGGTACGCGATCACATTTATGTCACTTGCGGCTCATTGGTATTCGTTAGTGGGGATCGCGTTTCCCTCGTTCATAGCACTGCGAAGACGTAATCTTACCACTCCCAACGAGAAGCTCAATTTGCTGACTATATCAGGTACATCACTACCATCACCAAAGACATACATGAGCCATCCATCGAGTGCGAGCTTGCGACACTATGTATGCAATACTTGACCTTCCCCTGTTTCGATGTCGACAATCCTGACGATGTTGTGCAACGACGACGGTTTGCATTGGATGGGTCACTCGCGTTCCAAGACTATGCGATTGCGAAATGGTTTCACCACGTCAATGCGTGGGTATCAAGTGGCACAAAGTTCCTTGAAGAAGCGCCGGATCGGATAATACTACAAGATGACATCCTCCATGCCATGAGAGAGTTCATGATGCGTTATAGTGAGGTGGACTGGGCGAAAGGACTTGTCGATGACTGCAAAAACAAATGCAGGGTGTTTGAACATCTCGATCTATACGAGCATGTTGTGCAGCTTACTAGCCATATCTACACATTTCAACAGAAAGGCTTCGAGGCACAACACAAGATCAGCATCGGCGATCTTTCGGAGGCCTTGATTCGGAACCGGAAGATACTTGAGGAGTTTCACAAAGCCAAACCTGGTCCGACAGCAGAAGAGAAGACAACGTACAGTAGATTCTACAACGAGAAACGACGTTTCAAATGCACACGGATTACCTGCCGATACTTCTCTGAAGGATTCAAAGACGAGAAATCTCGTAAGCGGCATGTCAACATTCACGAAAGGCCATACCAATGCGAGATACCAGACTGTGTGGGCGCGGAAGGCTTTGTGAATGCAAAAGATCTCGAGAAACACACTCGGACATTTCATCCAGAGAAGAGTGATTTGGCGGAGACGTTTGTCTCTGCTGTTGCACCCAAACGTGGGAACACGAATCATGCATGCTCGATTTGCGGGAAAACATTCTCACGTAGCTACCATCGCAGGGACCATGAGCTAAGTCATAAAGGAGAAAGGCCACACGAGTGCGCAGAATGTGGCAAAGCTTTCACGAGACTTAACGATCTCACGAGACATCAGAAAATACACGACAGGATCCGGCGATAATGGTACCACCTAGAAGACCCTTACGGTTGATATTATGATAATGTAGTAACGAGAGTAAGAATAAAACCGATGAGTTTGTGTTCTGAAGTTTTGTGTAATGTAAATGCTGCGCGTGCGTGTATCGCGGGTCAGGGACACTGGTTCACTGACGATGCAACAGGACCTCATTGCCCGATACATGCGAACTCTCCAAGTAGGGTATGAATCATTCAAAGCCTCAATGATATTGTCTCTCTCCATGGCTGCACTCTTCATTTCAGGATGCCCTCAAGACCAGATGTCTTGGCGTATAAGGTGTCGCAGGGCGTGTGCAGACTAATGAAATCTTACATGCTATTCATCCGGTGGGCACATGCGGGCCAATGATCCTGTGATTGGTTGGCTCGTAAAAGCACGTGATGATATCCCGTGGTGTATCCTAATGCCTCGACCTTCAATTGTCATCGGCTAGTGACTAGTTCTACGGCATACAGGTCGCGGAACAATATGGTTGACCGCTGCGCCACCTTTTTCATGCGCTGGAGATCGCAGCGCGACGTGAGTTGACTTGAGCGGCAATCTTGCAGCGCTTTTGCAAGACGCTGGTAGTGCTCAGAGCCGGGACTATGGTAGCCTCGAAAATCGAATGTATCCCCACGGCATATATCGAGAATGATTTGATCCTCACTGATCGCCGCCTACCCCACCGATTAGTACCGGATCATGACCCGGATGCGGTTGTCTTGGCGTCCCGAGTGTTGACGGGCGGGAGGGTGCCCTGCCGAGTCTCGCTACTTTTCGCGTTCCTCGCTACGCGATGCCCGCTGCGCCTCAGCCGGTACCACCCTCGCGACTTTGTCTATTCTTGGATGCCACGCTCGTGTGGTTGCATGTACACAGCCGTCGCTTATTTCTTTTTCTTGACGATGCATGCCTCTCATAGCCGTGCGTGATGGGCGGAGCAAGCTGTTAGGAAGCCAGCCCACGCCCACGAAGTACACTGTCACCTCAATCGTCCCACCACTCGGCGCACGATGATGACTACAGATGCGTCTAAAGAAAATCTGGCTCGTCGGGTTATTCGGACATCTGTTGTACAACTACCGACAACCACATCCCCTGTTCAGAGTGACCATTAAAGACGCGGGCATTGCTAATTCACCCGGCTCTGTCTCCACTGTTTCAAAACTCCAGCATACCTATCCAACATAATGTCTTTCGGGATCTCGGACATGGATAAAATCCTACCACTAAACAGATGGGGGACCTGAGTACTATCATCTCGCGTCATGGTCCGAAAGGAGCATCGGCTGGGGAAAGTCCACGTAATGGGCACTATAGAGACGCCCGAGAGGAGTTTTAGACATGGCGCGGCTGCGATACTAGCGACATGACCTGGTGAAGGCTATGCAAGAGTGCTCATCTTAGCCCAGGTGATACACTATAAGACGATTGTAAAGTCGCCCATTGCAACTCCATCCACAGCGATACCATCCATCAGGATCTTGCCAGTACTACCATCAATCTCCCTTTCATCCCCAAGCGAACCGACACAATGCACATTCCATCTCTCATTATCGGTACTTTCATGAGTGTTGGCTTCGTCAGCGCCCAAGGCTCTTTAGAAAGCTGGCACCCAGCTAGGCCTGGAGAATGTACGTTCCAATCCAACCGCCTTTGCTCAAGCCATCACGACCACTGCTGATACCATCCAGCTCGAGGCCCTTGCCCTATGCTAAATACCTTGGCAAACCACGGCTTCTTACCTCGTGAGGGTCGCAACTTCACGCTCCCCACCGTCAAGCGCGCTCTTTTGACAGGCCTTAACATCAGCGAAGAAATCTCGGAGCTGTTGTATAACTTCGCGCTCACGACAAACCCAGGTCCGAATGCTACGACCTGGGGTCTGGATACACTGGGCAATCACAACATCTTGGAACATGATGCCAGTCTGAGGTAAGTTCTTTCTTTGGATGTACAATCCAGGGGTTTTCTCGAATCTTGAGTACATGACTGACACGAGCCGTTATCCAGTCGTTCCGACAAGTTCTTCAATGACGATGCCGTCTCTTTCAACGCCACCGTATACAATCAAACCCGCGCCTACTGGACCGACGAAAAGATCACTATTCAGATGGCTGCCAACGCACGTCTTGCTCGCATGATCGACTCGGTAAAGTACAACCCCAGGTTCGCTTTGTCGGACTTGGCCGCAGACTTCAGTGCGGGCGAAGGTGCCGGATACATGCTCGTATTCGGCAACAAGACGGAGAAGACAGCGAGCAGAGACTTTGTGGAGTACTTCTTTGGTATGTATCTTATCCATGGTGACTAAGTCGACGCATGCTGATCAGCGAACAGTCAACGAGCGCTTGCCGACAGAGATTGGCTGGACGATACCCAGTGAAGAGATTAGCGCTGACAACCTCTTTGACTTTTCTAATGACATCTACGCGGCGACGTCGTACGCTGCCCTGGAGTCGAAGGCGGGCATGATGCGCAGGAATCGCATGGTCGAGAAGGTCTTCTAGTCTCTAGCAGTGGCTAGGGTACTTCTCATAAGTTGAAATCTCAGAAGAGCTTCCTCAACGACGCTAGAGAACAAAGTGCAGCGTAGGATAAAGCATGCTTCACGCGAAGCCCATCATTAAATATTTATAGCACACCGCATTACCCTGTAACTCGAGTCAAATGATCATTTCAACAATAGGGTCACCTCACCTTAACATCGCTGTGATTTGGCGAAACCTTTTCGGGTTTCACTGTACATGTCCTGACTAGATGTGGGCGAGAAGAATCGTGTAGCGGGACAGGAGCCTTACACACTCGTCACTCTACGACGGGCGCGAGCTACCCTTGTAGACTCTCTTCAGAATACGCTTGTTATGTTTTCCGTCTCCTTCAGTTGAGTCGACTGCAACCTCCAATAGGCATCGATTCTCGCATCGGTGGGAGGCATCGCCCCGGCCAGCCTGATTGACAGGCGGGTCTTCAACTTCAACTGTACTATAGATCGGAACAGAGCGACTACAACGTGCTGCTTCAACATGTCAATTTATCTTCGGCGTGGCTGTACCCGCGCGTGGCCCGATCCTTTTGTACCAGTATTACCAGTCGAACCATATCTCATGTGGGCTTCAAAGAAATTTGAGCAAGGCTGGACGTGTGCTCCATCATTGACCAAATCCGAAGCTATTACTCGGCCAATGTCTATTTCGCATGAGAAAAGCAATTCATAACGTTCAATTATGTGCTAAATCCAGGCGTTCGCTAGCACAAGCATCACCGTATTCGCCGCTGTATTGGGGTATCTGCTGTTGGATGGCGAGCCATATGGTGTCGGACTTCGTCATGATCGCGGTCAGCTGGGTCGTGGCGATGGACATAGCCGCAATCTGCAGCGCTTCGTCGTGGCATCAAGAGACGTTAGTGCACCGCGAAGGGTCCATCATGGCGAAGCTCGGTCTCGTCACCGGTAGTCAATCCGGACTGGAGTCGCAAAGAACTCATATATCTCTCAATATTCTGGATGTTCGAAGTCCTTGGAAGAGATGTCACAATCATCATATCATGCCATAATTCGTGCCCTTCAAAGTCCTTATAGCAACTTCCTCACATATCGGCTATGCACATGACACCGCTATCCGGCTCAGGAACGGTATCCTAACCCATGTGTAACATCCTGATGATCGAGCGAGCTGTTGCCGGTGCGCTGGCGAAGACCGCGATGAAGCTGGAAGGAGGATAGGCAGAGCGACCTCTATCACATGATTTGGGAATATAGAGAGATGAATGGTTGATGATAGCGTCTTCAGCATGTGCACCGCGTATTTGCGCATGTAGTTTCCAAGCTGGAAACGCAACTGACAGCGTTGTAACTCAGCTATACGAATGTGAGGAACAACCTTATTTTGGCCGTGAAGGCTGAAGTTTGGTTTTGGTCATCGCCTGCGCCGAAGATCTTGATGCAGGCAGGTAGAATGCAGGGGTCTCATTGGTTTGCTTAACTGCTCGTCCACGCTAAAGATTGCAGTGCAACTTGGCTAAGGAGGCTTGGCGAATGCACCGCTAAAGTTGGTGATAGACCACGATGAATTGGTATATCTGCTGATTTGCATGCGCTGCAGACGATAGTAAAGGACGGTGTGGGAACAGCTGTACACGATGCAATGGTGGGTGTAGTGTGGCAGGGTAGGCAGTACTTGAGGGTAGGCGCGAACAGGAAGTGCCGCCGCACAACCGCCGCGTCGACACCTCTACCCATGCGTCCTTTCATCCTGTGCTGCCTTCCTGAGAACGACGCTTGCCCTCCGACTATAGGGCTTGGAGCGTAGGAATCTCTACGAATGGGCAAGCAACAGAACAACGGCTAGAACCCATCTCGCGGCTTTGAACGAAGGGGTCGCCACACGGAAACGCATGCTTTGTTTTCGATGCACATTACTACGACAAGGAGCGTAGCTGTAGGTACGCTGGCAATTATCTCACGTGGCTGAAGTTGCACAGTCAAGGAACTATCCGCGCAGCAGACATACCGAGGCTTGTCGCTGTGCTTTTTGGTGCCCTGCTGAGGATGAGACAATCATGTGAGTAGCATGTGATCGGAAGAAAGCCATTGATGTTCTGATTTGCAAAAGGTGCCTACTGTTGACCGCCGTTCAGGCCGCTGGGTCTCGCTCGAGGCTGACAGCATGGCATGCTATCTGCATGGAAGACCCCGCAATATGGCCGCCCCGTTTGCTTCCTGCCGCAGGGCCCGCAGCTTTAGTTTTGCGTGCGCGACCCGCCTCGCGGAGGATTTTCGCCGACCTGCCCTGTGCTCGGCGACCATCAGAGTTAAGTGCGGCTCGAAACTCAGCGACACACTTGGTCGCGAGACAGGTTTTCAATTTCCAAGATACTGGAATCTTCATACATGTGAGGTGCACGCTGTTACCAAACGTTGCATGCTGACTTTACCGCCGAGTGCAACAGCAATACTGTGCATTTACCGCAACGGTATTAAAGAGGAGGAGATGTCAAGTGCAATCATTTCGATTGCTGCGATAGCTGAGCTCTCATTGGTTTTGCTGTGGTCGGCTGTGCAGCCGCAACCCTGGCGACACAGATTACGATAACCATACCGCATCAACGATGCCTGCACGACACCCATTTTCCCTGAGGCTGGTGCCATACCGCGAAACCCGTTGGAAAGCCAAAATCCAGCTGCTTGGTCTCTTTTGTTGTACCGAAAAGGAAGTCAAATCGTGAACGACGTTGGACACAATAGCAGGTATGCGGTTCATACGATCGAGCGACTACCGAATCTCGATTTCAGGGGTCCGGTGAGGCGCCAACTGGTGTCACAAGGCGTTCCTAGTCCCACAAAACAGCACCCTGTCCAATCTGTTGCTGGTCGCCGGGTCGCCGACCTCTTCTAACTTAAGCATCTGTGATGTCCACTCACAGCCTGCGCTTCATATCGTGGAAGGTAGCGTTGCCTCTACCCACCCGTCGTGCATATTCCGCTATGCACATTTGCGACAGCTTTAGCAAGGTTTCATAGAGGGCCAGGGTTTATCTAATTTGGGGGCCACGATACGCTGTCCAACGTTTGGACGCCTAACGCCTCTGGCTTGCCCGTTATGCCGTAACGCCCTTTTAGTCTAGACGTGTACTTTCTTCTGGTGTATTGCCAGGAAGAAGATACAATTAGGCCGATCCCAGATTTGCCTCTGCGCGTCCTCGCTCTCCGCTTCCCTTACCACCACCAGCGGGAGAACGTCACACGGAACCAAGACCCTACAAAATGCTGGCCCTGGCATGCCAGATCTTGCTAGCATTCGTATGCGCAAGCGGCGCGACGCCGACGGCTGCACCAGTGACGACGCGGGACCTTGCAGTACGGCAAGATACGATTGGGCAATGTGACGATCAAGGGACATATTCGACGAAGAATGGACTCAACTTTACGATGTACTGCGGGCAGAGGAACCCAAACAACGGTGTGCCTCGTTTAATACTTGCCTCACGATGGAACTCACGGCTGACGAACGCTAGACGCATACATAAACCCGCAAGGAAACTACGACTGGTTGTACACACCCACGTACGGAGATTGCCTAGAGCTTTGCTCGCGTTTTGAGCAGAACGGCGAAGGCTGCTTCGGAATCCATTGGACCGCAGATGGAGGACATTGTTGGTTAAGAAACAGCAATGTTTCGACATCGGATCTAAAAGCAGACACTGGATCCGTCTCTGCCCTCGTCAATCGGAACCAAATGAAAAGCTTCGATACTGCATGTACGGACGAAGAATACCAGAAACTTGCTAGTGTCGATGGCATCGCCTACACTACGACCTGCAATCAGGTGTATCAAGGCCTGCCACAATGCTTCGACGAGTATGACTGCCTTGATCCAGCTCGTTACTTTTACCACGCCGAGTCGCTCGAAGAATGCTTGGGCTTCTGCGTCGCCCTGCACCCCCGTTGTCGCATAGTGTCCTGGAACCCAGGTCTCCAAGTCGGCTTCGCAAACTGCTGGCCCAGGTTCGGTAATCAAAACCCAAAGCTGGGCCAACCCACTTCACAGCAAGGCATCATGCACTCGGCCGCCATCATTGAAGCCCCTACCCCAGATAGCGCGTGTCCCCAGGACAACGTGTATCATTCCGGAGGCCAAGCGAACGGTACTCAATTTGACATTCATTGCGGGAAACTAAACCAGGGCCTGAACATTACTAGCTTGCAGGCGCAGAACATCACGTATTGCATGGACGCATGCGCAGCTAATAAGGATGGTTGTACAGCAGTACTATACTCGTCCAGCCTCGACGACGGTTACCAAAACTGCCACCTACAAAAGACGATCAATGAAGTCATCGACTCAGCAAACGCTACCTACGCCACCATAGCCTCTCCAGACAGCAACAACGGCTCCTCCGGCTCTTCCGGCTCACCAAGCAAAGCATGGATCGCGGGCCCAGTCATCGGTGGCATCGCCGCCCTCGCCGCCATCGGCTTCGCGATATTCTGGTGGCGGAGAAGGAAAGCCAGGAAGGCCTCCGCAGTGCACAAGTACGCACAGCCCGCTGGAGGCGCCGCTTACGATCCGACGCCTGCGTATAGTCCGGGGACCGGCCGGTCTGAGGTGCACGCTTTGAGCATGAGCGAGTTGCCGGCAAATGTCAAGTATGGGCATAATCAAGGGCCCAAGAGCGAGGCGCAGGAGCTACCGAGTTGATGGGTAGGGTTGACACTGTAGTATTTAATGTTATATAACGTCTAGTATTGAGACATATTTCCTCCCGGTTTGTCGTTCCTGTGCGTTATCGCTGCACGTCTGGTCTCATCACTGCTGCTTACTTGCCCTGTACGAGTCATCTTGTCGCACGTGTACACAACGTATCTCAATGAGACATCATGTGATGATGAACGATTGTACTCAAAGTCTCGTTCCTGGCTAGGCTTGAACGTAGTTAATCGAGCGGCACGCGCACGGACAATGCCCGGCAGACGGGCGTCATGCCGTCGGCATCCTCGACGACACGACAATCACTCCTCACTTGGCACACCACTTGGGTGCTCTTACTATGTATGAACTGGTGGGCTTTCCTTGCAAAGTTTTGGCTTGTCAACCTCAAAGTTTCGTAGAGGTTATGCCTGTAGCGACCCCGCACGAACGCTGTATTTCTCCCAAACATGTAAGCATGAACTGCCTTTTCCTAGGTAGGGTAGAGCAGAGTACAACAGATTATCTAAGGATGACCTCTATACTTATTCAAGATATCGAACGTCAAGCTTTACGTTTTTGAAGTTTCTAGTTAAACCTAAGTTCTTTTCTAGCGACGATCAATCCACATTGTACATTGCTTCGTACATTGCCTCGTACACGGCTAGGCACGATGCAAGGTTTTTGACATTGCTATGTCGCCTTAGGATTGCCTTTCATAGGGCGAGTCGCTTGATTCAGAAAGGTTGGCGGTGCATGAGCGCAAGCCGTCCGTGGACAACGAAGCTTGTTTGTGATTGGTAAAGTTGTGGGGAATCCCAGTCGGATGCCGGAAGTATCGTTCGCGGTCCAATCCAAAAGTGTAGCTTGAGAAGATCTCTTGGTCGGATACGTCGACGCATCCACTTAGACATCGGAATTCGTTTTGAGGTCGCAATCAGGGGAAATTGAGCCGCGCTCGGGGTTACGTTCGTACAACAGTACAACATTCGTGCTCTCCAGAAGTTGACCCACTCAAACATCGCATCGTGAAACCTCTGGGATAGTCCGACACTTTCATCCGTTGACTTTCGGCCGACAGTTTAATGCATGGCAAGGGAGGTGCGATGCTTTGAGGCCATGTCGAGTGGTATATATATCGACTCTTATGTGATCACTAGCAACATGAACAAATATCAGGTACACACCTCGTTCTTCCCAATTCGTCCTGTATCCCATAACCCAAATTCTTGGAACCCAAAAAATCGAGATGCAGAGAGATCCTCCCACGGACATCGATGTCCTTGTTGTTGGAGGCGGAATCGGAGGGCTTGCCTTCGCGATCGAGGCCTACCGCAAAGGCCATACGGTACGAGTGATTGAGCGAAACCCTCAAGGGCAGTATTCTGGTATGGTCCTTTGCAGAATGACACAATGATAGATGCTGATATCAAATAAATAGGTGAAATTATCATGGTGACAAGCCCGGCCTTGGTGACGCCACAGAAATGGCCTGGATTCATGGAGCGAGCCAGAGCAATCTCTGGACAACCGGACGTTACAATGCGCAAGTTCGATGGCACTTTTATCAAGCGCGAAACTGTCGGTGACATGGAAAATCCGACGCTCAACATTTATCGGAAATCGCTGCATGGTCTTCTTACCTCTTACGCCCAGGAACAAGGCATCTCAATCACTTTTGGAGCAAAAGTAGTGGAGTTCATCGAGAGCGACAATGAGGCTGGTGTCGTTCTTGAAGGAGGCGACCGCTTGATGGCTGACGTGGTCGTCGCAGCCGACGGAGTTGGGTCAAAGTCTCGCGACCTGATGGATGGGAAAAAAGCAGCACCCATTAGCTCAGGCTTCGTCATGTACCGCTGCACTTACCCAGCTGAGCTGCTCACGAAAAACCCCATCACCGCAAAGGAATTTGCTGGCAAGGATGAGGAAGGTTTTTTGTACATTGGCCCGGGTGCCCATGTAGTACTTCATCAGTTCAGAGGTGACTTTTGCTATCTATTGACAACCAAAGATGAGCACAGCGATGCAACGGAGAGCTGGTCAAAGAAAACATCAACTCACAACGCTTTAACAGCCGTCGAAGGCTGGGACCCCTTGGTGGCTGAGCTCATAAAGACCTCACCAAGAGACGAGTGCCTCGACTGGAAGCTGATGTGGCGCGACCCGCAGCCGCAATGGGCGTCGAGAGGAGGCCGCGTTATCCAGCTGGGAGATGCAGCTCACCCCTTTTTGCCGACCTCGTTTAGCGGCGGAACCATGGCTATGGAAGATGGGTACTCACTGGCAGCTTGCCTAAGCCTTGCTGGCCGAGAGAACGTCCAGCTTGCCACCAAGGTTCATAACAAGCTGAGGTAAGCTATGTCTACGCATACGTACAACACCAGCTAACGCCTTTTCCATCAGATTCGAACGCGTTTCCTGTGCCCAGAAATTGGGTTTCAAGAACCGTGAAGTCTTCCACAATACTGATTGGAGCAGTCAGAAAGCAGCTCCGAAGAAAAGTGAAAAGATGGTGGGAGACTGGCTGATTTTTCATGACCCAGAAAAGTACACTTATGATAACTACCACAAGGCTGCTGAGCACTTGCTTACTGGTGCTCCGTTTAAAAATACCAACATTCCACCAGGATACAGATACAAGCCGTGGACTGTGCGCGAGCTGTTGGCGGCTTCAGACCACGGTGAGGTGGTGGAGGACGAGGGTGTTTGGTTTTAGAGCGGGAATATCTTCTTCTAGACGTAGCCTTTTCCCACAAGATTTATATAAGGTGGGTGTCATCTTACCTGCTTATACTAAAGACTTCAATCTCTAGATTTTAGTACAAACAATGTCCCAACGCCTCGGACGCTTGCCATCTTTTATGTTTCTCGCACAAACTCACTATGAACATAGTCAAGGTCTTGTGTCTATTATAATCTTCTGTTCTCGCTTCGAACGTCGTGCCAGCCGCCGGTTGACGCACTGACTTGATTTTGACGATGGACGTCAATTTAGCGGAATGTGTAGCAGCTCAGACCGATTACGAAAACCGCACTGGGCGGCCGAGCCAAAGGCCCAAGTTTAGGGCCGAACGTAATTGCGGTGCAGACAAGCTTGCGTGTATCGCATGCGAGAAAGCCGCATGACAGTGATCAAGAAAGTTTCATGCAGCTGGTGAAATTCAACAAGTACGCGGATGGTACTAAAACGAATTGGAAGAAGCACGCAGCTAGCGTAGTTTGTACTATCTTATCGCGCGGCCAACGTCATAATCCCTTCTCACCACCACACCATGCCACATCCCGTATTGGCGTGCGCATTGCCTGCGAAACTCTTCGCGACGCCGGTACGGAATGCCTGATCACGGCGTGAAGCTCCGACTGCAGACGGACGCTCCGTATGGCTTCACACACGCTGGCCTGACCAAGACCCCATCCCTCGAATACATTCGCGCTGGCAGCGCGCTCGGCGGATTGTCCTCCAATACCAAGCCAATGTTTCCCAGCATCGCTGCACTCAACAACGTGGGATGAGAGCTATTATAGGCCTGAACAATACAGAGGGACAAGGCCTTGATACCATGACTCATTTCACACGATTGCATCAGCGGGCAAGAGCGCACATCTGCGCACCGAGCATTTTGCGACGCCATGGTGGACCGGATATGCAGGAGAGAAGTCAACGGGTCCGCATTCAGCGCGCATGTCAATTCTCGTCGCGGCAACGTCTGTCGCCATCGCCTCCCTCGATCGAACCGCCCTCGCCATCAGCGCAACACGCCACGCATCACACGTTCACCTCTTGACGGCTCTTCGCCTCGCATACGTTACACCTTGAGAACCAACGGCACGGTTTTCGGTCGGGATATACGAGGAACTGGATAGTTGGGGCGTGTGGGACCTCTCTCGCGCAGGTTTCAACGCCATTGATATGTACTGCAACAGTACACATGGGCGTGCGCAAATGATGCCAGCCATGCTCAGAGTCGGTGCTCGGAGAGTCAAGCATACGCCACAACGGCCCGGCAGCGAAGCGGCACCAAGCTTGGCTCAGACCCTTCACTCGTGCGGAATTAGAGCGAACAATGCCAGGCAATGTGGTCCTGCACGCCCATCGCCTTGGATTGCGACGAGTACTGGCAGTATCTCACTGGTGTCGTCGCAACAGTGTGCCTGGCCTTGCGCTGAAAGAGCACCCTTCAATAACGCAGTTGGCTGGAAAGCTATCACAGGGTAGGCCACTCGTGCGTAGACCGCGGTCAAAAAGCTGCTCCATGTCCGCGCAAGGCCGTGCGCGGAAGGTGACATTAGTGTTACGCGATGATTGCCGTCGCGTCCGCACGAGCAGAGCATGCTTTGCATATCTCGGTCCGCCTGCTTTACCTGCTTCAGATTCGTTGTTCGACGCGGATACTTGCAGGTGTGTGTCTCAACCATCCGTGTGATCTATCAACAACGCCTTGCTCACTGCAGCAATGACGGCGTTTACGCGCACCTCTACGCAACCTTTGTTGCTTGCTACATGGGCAATGCAACAACGCGGGAGGAAATGTGCTTCAACACCAGACGTCATATCACATTGAATACTGCATCATCTCTACCACCCATCAATTCATGAGCTGCCTTCAACTTCCACTGACCCCACAACCGTTCTCTTCCATCTTCACAATGTCGCAAATTTCATCTGGGTGGGCAAGGAGGACAAGGCTGACGTGGTATGCCTACATACCTGTCGTACAGGAGCGCAACAAGCAGGCCTGCGAGACCCCCAACAGCAAATTTGAGCCAGTACGTCAATCTTGCGTTTTGCGCTGAATTCGCGTCGATATCATGCCTCGGGTCGTGTCGTTCCTCTTCGGTCGCGGGACTTTTCGCGAACGCAGTATCAGTCCCGTTGGGTGAGCGTGGTGCTTCAAATTGGGAGGCTTTGTCGTGAGACATCCTGGTAGCTGTCCGAAAGAAGGTTTCATACAAGAGAAGGTATGCAAAGCAGAATTCGTGAGTGGAGAGGTGTTGATAAGGTCGGGACGCTCCTTATATAGGATATTGGAGAGCGTTTCGAGGACATGCACGAAGATGATTCGGGTATGCGAAATGTCATTCGTGTCCATACCGTAATGTATCACTGAGATCAGGTCGCCAATACCACATCATTTGTTCAAAGTGCCGAGAGTTTGCTTAGGTTTCGTCACGTACCTTCATCGTCTCTTGTCTCGTGGTCCAACCACGCCAAGCAGAAAGGAACCGATATATCCGGCTCAGGCTCCGTCCCCACCTAAAATCATGTGCCCCATTCGGACTTGATCTACAAGACAACGCAGATCTCCGCTACCACAAGACTTTACTCAATCGATGCGAAGGCAAGGCGACCAAGCCAAGTCGGCGGAGTTCATTCACGCAGCCTCAAGGTTGAGCTACAAGCTCAGCTAATCCTTTTCGGAACGACCCGAACACACCTTCCGCAACAGGCATTACATCATCGATATCTCTGATCGATCAACTTTTCCATCACTAATGCAACCTACAATTGGTGCAGGGCCTCCCCGTCTGGTCCTAGATGGTCGGTCTATTTCTCTATTCAACCCTGCATCAGCATGGAAGGACTCGGCACTTCGCATCCCTGCACCATGCGTTCTACAACGACAGACTGCCGTGAAGGTCAAAGACGAAGACGCTCTCGACAATCCCATAGCCGTTGGATAAATGGAATGTGTAGTCGCTCGCCAAGCCAGCCTTGTTTAGTCCATCATTAAGGCGACCATCCTAACCACACGAAGGAACGGGGCGTGCCGTTGACGGGGGCTAATCAGACTACGTGGTTCACCTTCCGCAGAGCGCTTAGGTATTCATCACATAGCAGGCTCGTATTTAGGGTTAGATGTGGGGAGCACAGTAGTTACCTGAACTTTCCTTGGCGTACAGGTTCGCCGCATCGACTTTGCTGGGCAATTCGAACCAACACTCCCTGCTGACCTTACTAACAATGTTGACGGAATAGTTGACGGACCAGAAAGAGCTGTCGAAGGGATCGTAACATTGGTCGAACCGCGCTACCTATTCTGCTTCTACTACTCGCTGTGGATATCGATGGAAAGACGTCCAGGCACTACCACGTTACTATAGGATACTTATCTTAACCCCAACGTTGAAAGAGTACGACTAGCATACTATCGCGTGTTAGCATCGGAACGGGTCACGGCTGCTCTGGTATGGACTACTGCGAACCGAACATGTCCGCCTGAGGCTCACATACTGCCAGTACACCTCCTGCACCCCTAATCACAAACCAAGGCTTGGATGCAGTTTTCGAGCAGCTCTCGGGGGCCTGAACCAAGACCAAGCCAGCGATCACGATCTCCAACACGACTATGCTGTTGTCGCATCGTCATACTTGCGACATGCGTAGCTGTTCAATGCCCCATCAAGTGATAGCCTCGAGGCATGCTCTCTCATCATCGGCTACCGGCAAGTGAAGACAGCTTTCGCGGCGAATGAACTTGAGGTCATTAGGCGGAAGCATGCTAGCTGGTGCGACCTCCAAGACAGCTACATTGCAAGCATGTAGTGATTTGTGAATATAAAAGGCGGGCATTTCTCGAGCACATGAAACATATCTCATCCTCACTCAGTCTCATCATCGCACCAAATACTTTCTGTCAGCCCTACGAGATTAGGACACGCGTACAACATGTTTTTGAAACAGCAAGCGGCACTTCTGGCAGGTCTGCTTCCATTAGCAAGTGCATACCGACTTGTGTTCTATACTGGCTTCGATTGCAATGGCGAAAGGCTCGGAGCTCGACAAGCAGTTCAAGACGGCACCTGCTACGACCCTAGTCCTCTAGGTTCGCAAACCAGCTCCGTCCTGATCGTTGCTGAGGAGGGTGACGATCCCCTGTCGACAGTGGTGTTCTTTCCAAATGGTGTTGACTGCGCTCTCACCGAGTCCATCTCGACTGGCAATACCGGCTGCGTCAACGTCTACCAAGGAGACTCGTTTGGAGGATACACTGTCATCAGTGGAGAAACTAAGAGAAGAGAAGTTCAGGAAGAAGCCCCCACCTCTGCCATAGGCATCACTCATGGCGACTTCTTCGAGATGGATGGCGAACTATGGCGCTGGAACCAGATTGCCCAGGATACCTTCTCTGGTGTTAAACCTGAGGATTGGTCCGGCACCGCTCGCCTCGCTAACTTTGCGCCACTTGAGTATGGCAGAGACTTCCCTTTCAACTTCACTCAATACGATCTTGAGAATCCGTCGTCGTCCATCATGGAACGCGCCGTTACCGCCGCTTCTGGGCTCAATGCAGGCTCTACTCCAAACTCTCCCCGTGAGGTAGAAGAACTGTTCGAGCGTCAAGACATCTGCCGGAGAATCCGTGAATGCGTCTATGGTTTCCCTATCCTGGCCAACTACTACTTCCCTGAGCAGACCGAACGCGTCGTCAATCAGATTAATGCCGCAAAGCCAGCAGCGGAGAGCATCTGGAACTTCCTGAAAAATCCGTACGTTTCTAGTTTCAGCGTGGGTCTGGCAACTGGCGCTATTGGCGCTCGGTACTTTGGCTCTGCACCAGACTGCATCCCGGGGCCAGAGTCAGACGCCGTTCGCACCACCATCAATGAAGGTACCACGACCGCCAGCCGTGTTAGCGCTATCCGCACCGACGTGCTGGCTGGTGGCAATGGAGCGGGTACCTTGACTACCGTCATCGTGCCTCCCGACCAGCGCGGTACTGGTATCTGCAACACTCCCGTTACGGACCCTTCACCAACAAGGTTTGCGCTCTCACGTCACAAGCGATCGCTGTACGCTAGAGTTCCTGGTTTCGAGGAATGGCTGAAGACCAAGAACTTCGCGCTCTAGAATTGGTGCGGAAGTCGGAGGGTAGCAGGGGGATCTCGGAACGATTTTGGGTTATGGAAGGTAAAGGAAGAAGGCTGAGCAGTTGCCTTTTTGAGTGGTTCAGGCAGCGGGGAATTGGCTACGTAGTTAGATAGACCTCGAAGTCTTGTCAACTCAGTACTCAGCTCGGCACAGTCATTTCAACCACATGCATGTTGTTTCCAGTGCATTTTCATGAGATCTAGCGCTGTGAAGATGCACGACCAGGAGCATCCGACGTGTCCGGTCTGAAGTACAAACCTTTGCCGAACGTTTTCCGCTGCGAACAGCAACGATACCATGGCTTGACTTACTCGCCGTATAGCAACCTGCCACAAGGATTCGTCGCTTTGGCAGAATTTGAGGAGCAGGTGAAGACAGATTCTGAAATCAATGCTTAGTAAAGGATGAATCTAGGACTAGATGTGTGCTACAGCGTGCTACTGCATTGCTCTCTAAGGATCCCACTGGGTAAAGACAACGGGCCCGGAAAGCGTCACAACACCCAACATTCCTCCATCCTCTTCCCCCACAATCTTGCCCGTCTCGACATCGCGTTTCCAGATAACAACAGTATTGTTGTTCTGGTGACCAACCGCAATCTTGTCACCATCCGTGTTGATCATTAGTTGGCGAGGCGAGTAGCCTCCAGACGGTGCGTGCTGCACCAGCGTCAATGTTCCATTTGCGTTGATAGAAAAGACGGACAGAGTATCGCTGGATCGGGTTCTGTGGATAGGCGAACCAAGGAAAGAAACGTCGCGGTTTGATACAATCACGAAGCGACCATCGGGCTGTTGGCGAGACAACATTAGCATGACAATTCAAAAGTACCAGAGAAGAAGAAGAGCTCACCGTGATAGCAATCTCACTCGTCGGCGCCGTCGTCACCGGTAGGTACTCACTGATGGATACAACATCATCCACAAGCCTCCATTCCAGCCCGTCCTTTTTGTACTCGACCTGATATGAATACACTCTCTGATCCAACTCGCCGTTAACGAACAGAAACAAGTTCCCTGTCTCCGGCGCAGTCCAGAACACCGCCTTCCTGGGTCCACATCCCAACGGTGTGACCAAGGGATCCAATTCCACTAGCGGCGCAATGTTTTGCTGGTTGTAGCGAAACACTCTAATTCTATCCTGACCCAGATCAGTCATGAGCAAGAACTTGCGGGTAGGGTCCAGGAAGACGCCGTGCAGGTAACTCCGATCTTGCCTCGCAGTCACGGGGCCCATGGCAGTCGTATTAGGAAAGATAATTTGAGCTGGCTCAGAAAGACCGCCATTGTCGTCAGGGAGGCGATATACGCCGACGGCGCTTCTGTTACTGTTTACGGATGCGTTAGTTGCGTGTCTTATGTAGAGCGGGCAAAGACTGCAGGATCGAAAAAGAAAAAAGAGTGAGGGACTGAACTAACTTACTAGGAAGTAGAAACATAGCCTCGAACTCCCGTTTCCTCGTCGTTGAAAAATTCAGCAGCGACGCCCGAAAATGGTGCGCTTGACCGCGCAATTCGACTCAACGACCCATCAGCCGCGATGCGCAAGCTGTTCAGCGAGCCTTCGGTACCAGGGGCCCGTCCGCGATCCAGACAGTACAAGATGCGGTTCTGATAATCAAGATTCAAACTCGCTGGGTTGGGTCCGCAATCTGCCGTAACAGAGGTAACAGTCAGGCTCGACGTGTTCCCGTTCTCTGTGAGTGAAAGTGTGCTGACGTTTCCTCTAGAATCGGCAGCGAAGAGTTGGGAGGCGCGGCTTGGCATGACCGTAAGGAGAGTGGGAAGCACGAAGTGTAAAATGAGCGAATGCATTGTGTGTGCTTGTTCGTATGTGCCCGTTGAGTCGAAAAGAAGAGGAGACGCGGAAGTGCTTTTGGAGAACTCCTATCACGAGATGAAATGTCAATGGTATATACCATTTACAGCGACCTGGTCTCGACGATCTACCTTGTACAGTAAGCGCTAGCCAAGACCGATGGTCTTGGACTCCGGTTGCTTGGACTCCGGTGTCTTGGTACGTGCGGATAGTCCGGAAATTGCAAACCAAGCCAGCCAAGGTCCGATTTTAAGTGGCTTATACAAGAGCCAAGACGTTCTGCTGTCCTTTCGTTGTGAGGGGCGTTTTCGAATGTAGTCTGAATAGAGTGATTATCTAATCATGATCTTGAGTACTAGCAAAAGTACATGGAAGAGTACACTGTATGTGATCTCTCGACCTGTCAGATAGTTCAATTCCAGACTCGTATGTCCGTCTTTGAAGACGCTGTCTGTCCTTCTCCACTCGAATGCAAGAACCACGAGTCTTCTACTCCTGAGCGTTGGCTGCTAAAAGCTGCCTACGATAGCGATATGAAACAAGTCGTGCCTCCTTTCTTCTGCGGGCCGAGACATTGACGAGGATAAAAGTCAGCTACCATCTATCTCATTGACCTTGGTAACGCACAATGCTAAGGAGTATTGCGGCCCAGCATACCACGAGATGCGCATCATTTCCATAAACATTAGGTGATACTTCGACTTCAACTGTGCCATGAGAGCGAGCATTGGAGTGACTAGAAAGCGTGGTCATTGTAGAGCAAATGAATGCTGTTGGTAAAGCAAAAGCCGATCGAATAGTCCCGAATGTAGGGATCACGAGAGTGTAGAAGTCTTGCAACAACAAGAAGCTAGGGGAAGTAGGGATGTGGTTGTTTAGGTATGCATAGTAGGAGTGTTGCTTCGCACCCGTGTTTACAGTACACAGCCGCGGCCGTGAGATACGTGAAACACGTATGCTATGGTGGGGGAATTTACCGCATATCTCGGAAGATTGCCCTGCTAGATAGTCTGGATGTAACAGCTTTCGTGGTATCCCTACGGCCTGACATCGATTAGTGATCATTCGGGCCGATCCCGCGTGTTTACTCACAGCGCACGTCCGATGCACAGGTGCAGGAGCCCACAGAGCCTCATAAACTGCTATCCTTCTCCTGTACAGCATCAAGGCACACGATTTACATAGCTTTCGACATCCCCTACAACGACGTCTAGTTTTGAGAGTAGCGAGCTACACTTTGGATTTGCACAACCTAGAACAGATTTGTTCGGTTTGTCAAGCATAGTGTAGATATGTAATAAGAGCATTATGCATCATGCCCCGCCGAAGTTTCCGCTACCTTCACAGAACGACCGTCCGCGCGTTGTCTAATCACAAAAGAACAAGAGCAGGCGCCTCGTAAATATTTCGTTAACGATATCAAGATTGTGCAGCGCCCTGTCTGCTCATTCGTTGTCGCAACGAGGAGTTAAGCTAGGGATTGACTTCAGCGGGCCGCAAGGGAAGAACGAACTTGAAGTGTACACAGTACGCTAAGAAGTATTCTATCAGGACACAATAAGATCATGTAAACGCGGCCATGCTTCCAGTTACTTTGTCTTATCAATGTTTGACAGGCTATTCACGGTCGAAGAAATGCAATAAGAGGTTTCCAAGACGCCATCTCATATATCAGCATAATACCTCAAGGACCAGGCCACACATTCATGCAATGTAGCCTTGTTTGCTGAACAGACGCCGAGTGATGACATTCATGGCAGCGTTTGAGCAACGCGTTGCCAGCGGATGCCATCGGTGACAGCCTGGGCAAGACGCTAATCTCCGAGAGCCCACAAGATACGCCGGGTATCTTACCACGTTAGGAAAGTCGCCATACGAAGGATGGAGCGATTATCTTGACATCAGATAAAGGATTGTGCTTTATCAATTGCGGAATTCAGTGAAGCATGATGCGATGAGACGGGCATATGCTTTGCGGTGAAGCACGCCTTGTGGAAGGTGTGAAAGGAACGCCAAGGCTTGGCCCAGTCGCATCAGGCAGGAACAAGAACAAAGCTGATGGTACACCGAGATACGCCGAAGCGTGCAAGCATGCCATGTGTTGCTCTCAAATTCGAGAAGGGCCGTAGCGGCCATTGCGCCATCGTTTGGAGGCGAAGACCTGGTTATGCTCCTGATTATAGAAAGCCTGCAGTTCCCTTTGGCAGGATAGAACATTCACTACGAGTCAACATCGACAACCGGAACCTCAAACTGTGACGCAGATAGACCAGATCCAGGAATATGGCGCCTTCTGGGTTGTACAAGCATGGTCTGCTTGGAATGCTTTGCCTTGCACCAACCCTTGTACATGGCCAGAGCAGCAAAGCGGACAGTATTCAGACCTGTCTCACAAGCGCAGGCGTACAATCAACGATATCAACGGATGAGACCTGGGCCAACGACACAGCGTCCTTCCAATTTCGACTTCCACGACAACCTGTCTCTGTCGCCTTCCCCAAAACCAAAGATGATGTCGCATCAGCTCTCGGATGTGCACGGAATGCGTCAGTGAAGGTATCCGTTCTTGGTCGTGGACATTCCTTCCAAGGCTACAGCTTTGGAACCCCAGGCAATCTTGTCATCGATATGGGCGCGTTCACCGAATTGAGCTTTGATAATTCGACGAACCAACTGACCTTCGGAGGTGGATCGAACGTGGGACCTGTAAATAGCCCCGGATAACGCATGAGAGAATCCTTGCTGACTAAGGCAGACTGCTAAGTACGTTCACGACAACTTTGGACGTCACTTTCCGCACGTGAGAGGTTCTCATGTCGGCCTGACTGGAAGTTCGTTCGGCGGTGGCTTCGGCACGACTAGCAGGCTTCTCGGAATCCCTTCCGACAATCTCGTTTCTGTTGAGTACATGCTTTACAATGGTACCATTGTCAACGCTGGTCCTGGTTCGGATCTCCTTTGGGCGGCTCAGGGTGCTGGCTCGAACTTTGGAGTTGCTCTTTCTGCAACGACCAAGACATACGAACTTCCTTACAACGGAGCCGTGAGCTACTCGCTTGCCATTGGGGAGGTGGGCACTGATGCCGCTTCTGCTGCGCTTCTAGCGATCCAAAAATGGGTGCTTGATGGTCAGGCGCCAGACACTCTCTCTCTGCGCTTCAGCTTGTCCAACTTCGCGTCTGCCGGGTTTTTCTATGGGTCAGAAGCAGATTTTGACTCCGCCATCGCGCCACTTGTCGAATCTCTCCAATCTATCAGCTCGGCTGTCAACCTCACAAAAACCATTCTCTCGACGTTTTGGGAGTCGGAGGTAGCAGCGACTGGTAGTGGCATGAACTTGCCGACTGGAGGCACGCTCGGTGGCCGCGCGTCGCTCGTTCAATCGTGGACCACGACCAATCAGCACCCGCTCACCTTGATGCAGGCAAAAGCATTGCTGGATGGATATGATTCACTCAACCGCACCGATATCACCGGTTCTGGGTTCCTCGATTTGTGGGGCGGAGTCAGCCGTGACGTCGCCGACAGCGATCACGCATTTGCGCACGGCAACAACCTCTGGCTGGTCCGTGTTGATGGGGTTGGAGCTGGTGGTGTCTGGCCGAGTGATGGCATTGCGTACATGGAGAATCTTTTCAAGCCGTTCGAGGATACCTTGATAAAATTTGCCCCGCTCCGCAGCTTTGTCAACTACGTGAATTCGGAACTCAGCGTGAAGGAGTGGAGCTCTAGGCTGTACGGTGCCAACTACGCAAGGCTTCGCAAGATCAAGGCTGCTGTTGATCCTGCAGATCTGTTCTCTGGGTTCGGCCTCGCAATCCAAACTACGATATCTGGGCGATCCAGATAGCACGAGGGTCGCCAAGCAGAAGAGCCTCTTCGGTAAATGTTCAAAGGTATCGAATTCAAATCTCTCTATTATTACTACGGTCCAGCAATTTCCAAAGTTTGCCCCCTGGTCAGCCTATCATGCTGCTCCTTCTCACGCGACGCATCCCCACAATGTAGATCTAGTTCTCCGCTCGGTTCCTCGAGATGTTCCTAGTGTTCCGCTAGCAAGTGGATATAGCATGTTCTTCACCATAGCGTTCTAGTTAGTGTTTTAATTCTTCTAAACGTCTCTTACGGGCTCAAAATTCGTTTTGCTTTGCTCTAGGGAACACGATGGTCGATACAATGAAGTTAGCCTGGTATTTCATCTTAGACTAGTTGACGGATACGAGCGTCGTCTACTAGATCACAGGACACACAGATGACGGTCAGCCTATCGCAAAGCGCAATCAGCGCCTGGAGTTACTATGGCATAAATGCGTGCAACATTTTAGTCATCATGATTCTTGTATATCTCTTTATACCTTTCGACTGTAAGTTTTATATCTCAACGCTGTCTTTGTTCTTCACCCCTGGATTGCACTAATGCTAGTGACAGAAACAATTTTCGCTACGCAGACCAAACGTCGAACTTTCGTTTGTCCTTTTTGCTCTAAAGTCGCATTTGGTTCTTCTTAGACGTCGTGACAGTGCTGTGCTACAATTCCAAAACCTTGTCATTGCCCTAATCTAGCAAATCGTGGTAGTCGTTCCCAAGCGGCGTCCTCTTGGCACTGCGATGATACCACGCATTATGCAGACAGATGACATACAAGGGGGCTGCGCTCGAAGAGTTATCGCACAGATATGTTAGATTTCGCTTAGAGCCGCTGGCTTCATGCTGTTCAGGCAGGACCGCCAAGCCAAGAACCCTACTGTAAGCGACATTGATGGACAAGCCATCCGACTATTGTCGCAACAACCTTCAGGGATGATGGCACACAGTGCTGATTATGTGGAAGACATGCAATCGAGTCAAGTTGCGGATCTACAAAAGCTTAGACGTAGAGGACAGCATCAAAATGCGCGATGAATGGACGGGTGAGAGGCGGCACGCCGCCCCGCGGTTAATTGAGGGGCTACTCTGTAGCCCCGCATCTTGGCTAAAAATGAAAGTCCATAAATGCCAGCTCTTTGTAAGGATGGGGTACAAGTGAAATCGCGATCTCCGAGAAATCTTGGGGCAGAGTGCCGTGACTGCCGTCTATCCGGAGGCACGACTATCTGCCAGGGATCAGGCGCGGCCTAGGACCCAAGCCTCGGAGATACATGGCATTGGGGTTAGCTAATTTGTGACGATTGAACTGGGTGTTCTAAGAGAGCGTGCGATGACGTAAGAAGGTGGTTGAACGGCGGGATATCTCGCCTCGTTCCTGCGGCCACCTGAGCGTCTCGCAACCGCAACCGCAACCGCAAGGTTTCAAAGTTCTCAGGTCAGAGTCCTAACATCTTCTGAGACCCGACTACTATCACTGCCTAATGCCAACGTTCACCATACATCTACTACGCATCTCAAGATGACCGACGCCTCAACAACAAATATCGTGACGTTCCAGATCCTCTATCGAATTCCGTTTCGCTACCTCTACATACCTGGCCTGTACATTGCACTGCTCGGTCTCTTCACCTTCGGCCACGCACTCCACACCGTTCTCACACACACAGACCCCGGCAGATACTACAGATTCTTGATCTGGCTAGTCCTTGTATCTAGTTACCTTCTAACTCTAGCCGGCGCAAATCTCTGTCTGATCTGGCACGTGTTCAAGGATGAGAAAATTCCAGATCTAAGAGGAAAGCACATAGTCATGAATGACTCCGAAAAGCGAACGAACAAAATCCTCCGAAGCGTTGCCAGGTTTGTTCCGTGGCGCTTCGCCCACATACCTGGCGTATCTCTCAGCATTCTTGGCATCCTTGTTCCTATTCATACACTCAGTCTGCATCGAAAGCGTCCTGACGCTACAGACTGGAATACGATGCTACAAATCCACTTTCGAACTTTGCAAGGTGTAGCCTTGCAACTGGCGGGCTTTGTTGTTTGCATGGGATGGTATGTCTTCAAGAGCGTAGAATTAGAGTGCACAGAAGGGACGCAGCAAGACTGCACAGACATCAAAAGTGGGGCCGGCCAGACAAGATATAAACGCTCAACGGAAACTTGACAGTACATGTTGAGCGGTGCAGGCACAGCATGTAGGTGAGAGCGAAGCTCTGCGTCAGCGTTTCTCCTAAGGAAAGTCGTCTAATTGTAGATTGCTTTGGTAATCTCAACTGTAAGAACACATGTCTACTATAAGCAATGGATACCTTGGATCTCGTCTTAGAACTATAACTTAGACTCTTGGAAGCAGTGTCGTGGTCGGTCCGACCCGAGAGCTCGGCCTGCCAAGCAATCCGATCGGGGGCCGATGCGGTAGACTGTCACCGCATTGAACCTTCGCTCCACATTAAGATTGGAACTTCGTCCGTTACGGCGTCGAACACAGACGGACCGAAGCAGGCTCTCGCACATCTCGAGACCGAACACCCGAGCAGATGGGTGACGTATGGCTAGCTATGCTCTTCGGGCCCTTTGCACAGACTTGTCGGTGCAAGCTATTCGACATCAACGTAGAATTGCATCGCTCGGATGCGATGGAGACCCATACCGTCGTCAGCTATGCGGCTGTGCAGGAAGATGACGGAGCTGTCGCACATATATCGTCCTCTTATCCTACATTCATGTCACTCACGATACTGCTGCCCGCCCTCAGCATCACCGCTCTGTACCTATTAGCGAGTACCTCACCAGACCCGCTATCAAAACCTTCGTTATAACTACTCTCTCCGTTTGGTTCAATAGTTTTATCCCTCTATCTGAGCTTAAACCATCAATTGGATTAACATCGCGATGACGGTCCCACCTCCCGCTCCAGATTTCTGCACAAAAGTCACACCAGAATGTCCCGTCGAGGGCACCATCTACGGCTACTACCCATCACTCGGATGGAACACCGCATACGTCAGCTTCTTCGGTCTCGCTCTAGTCATTCACATCATCCTCGGCATCCGCTACAAGACATGGAGCTACTGCGTCGCAATGTCACTGGGTTGTATTGGAGAAGTAGTCGGCTACATCGGACGGGTGATGATGTGGGACAATCCGTTCTCTGAAGCAGGCTTCCAGATGCAGATTTGCTGTCTGATAATAGCCCCGGCATTCATATCTGCAGCTATATACCTCACGCTCAAGCACATCGTGTACAGCTTTGGGACAAGCTGGTCGAGGTTAAGGCCAACATGGTATACTTGGATCTTTATTGGCTGCGACCTACTTTCTCTGGTGCTGCAAGGTGCTGGAGGCGGTATTGCTGCTACAGCCGATTTTGGAACTGACCTGCAAGACATTGGCACGGACATCATGCTTGCAGGTGTTATATGGCAGGTTATGTGTCTTACATTTTTCGGTTACTTCTTAGGCGAGTACCTGGTGCGCACTTATCGCCATCGCAATGAGATTGGATGCGATGGCATCGAGCTTCTTCATGATCGAAAGTTCCAATGCTTCGTGGGGGCGATTATCACGGCGTACGTCACTATCCTTGCGCGTTGCGCTTATCGCATACCAGAGCTCTCAAGCGGATGGAGGAGTGAGCTCATGAGGGAAGAGGTGGAATTCATCGTTCTAGAAGGTGCTATGATTGTCGTCGCGGTGACCGCTTTGACTGTCTTCCATCCCGGATATTGCTTCCCTGTGTTGGCCACTGGAAAGCGATCAGAGGGTCCCAAGAGCATGACGAATGTCGATGAAGGCATCAGGCTGGATAGCGTTACTTTGGTTGAAGACTAGATTCCTCTCTGCTTTCGAGATAGATCATTCCAGTGAAGAAGGGACATAGTCAAAATAGCGGCCTCGACTTGATCTGAACTGGGATTTTAGTCTAGCTTGCGGGGATGGAACTCAAATAGATTCGGAGTAACACGAGCGAAAAAATGCACTATGTATCGACCACTGCTACCAAAAAGGTTATCGGTGCGCTGCTGTAGGTGTCTTAGCAACTTTTGAAGCTTTTACACAACTTGGTGCGCTATTTTCGACTGATTTAATCGTGTCGAGGATCATACCGCCATCAAGTTCTCACTCTTCTAGATATCTGGCTGCTCAAATTAGTACGAAGACGTCCCTTTATGCCTTTCTCGTGCGAGTTGATTCACGTCGATATGTACTTGTCGACTGTGTATAACGCGATCTCCAACATCTAGAGAGATCTAAACAAATCAGAGGAACTGTTAGCGAATAGCGGATAGCTTGCTTGTCTTGCGACTCGAACACCTCTTGTAATACGCTATAGAACACTTTTATTCATCGTAAAAGTGTTGGAACCCCTTTTCAAAATTGTCAGATAGCTACCAGAGGCTGCGCCACAATCTTAGCGAAGACTGATATTGACACTAGTCTTTTATTGGTACACTTACACTAGCACGTGTTTCAGTGTCTACGCGGTGGCGTTGCGCTTAGCAACATCTGGTACACTTGTTAAACTTTCGACTCAATTTGTCACCGGACCCAGACGGTGTTATTGTTTAACGACCCCGAATGGCATTTGAGTTCGGTCTATTGACGACCGCTGCTTAGCAGAGAGCGCATCAAGACCGATCGCCTTTAGACACCTCTTTGAGCCCAGCAGTACATAAATGGCTGTTCTCGCCAGGCCTGAAAATCTCTATCACGTTCGTTTCTTTTGTTCAGACGCACACTGCGTTTGTCGTATTCTTAATTTATAAAGCATAATTCCGAGATCTCCGCCAATACTAGGCATCGACGTCGATTTCTCTTTGCCTATCCGATACACACTCAGTCATCATGCCTACACGCGGCCTTCTGAAGGCGGTCGCGATCTTACTAAACTTCAGAGTGATCCTGGCTATCAATCAATGTCCAACCAGCGAAACCTACTACAACGGTCCCCTTAATGGTGCGAAGTGGGGTATTTGCCAGAATACCGATGTGACTGGCAACATTCTCGCGCAATTCAGTGGCCTTCGTAATGTTGGGGATTGTGCGTGGAGATGTGACAACGACATCCGATGCACACAGGCGGTCTGGGTTCCTGGGGGAGGTAATTGCTACCTCAAGGACGCTAGCACAAACGGCAACTGGGTCACCTCGAATGGGGGCTACAGCGTGATCCATCAAGTCGATAAGCTTGACAGGTGTCCAGCGACTGAGACTAATTATCCTGGTCCTAAAGCTGGCGCTAACTGGTCTATCTGTTCGGGCACAGATGCAACCGGCAACATTCTCGCGCAATTTAGTGGACTCGGCAATGTCGGCGACTGCGCTTGGAGGTGTGATTACGACGACCGGTGCGCGCGTGCAGTATGGGTTCCCGGGGGAGGGAATTGCTATCTCAAGGATGGTTCTTCAACGTGGACGTCAACCACTGGAGGCTACAGTGTCGTGCATGTGTCCAGTCCTCTGGACAGATGTCCAAACAAAGAGACAACCTACAAGACCGCAGACGGCGCTACATGGGCCATCTGCCCTGGTTCAGACATCACAGGAAATAACCTAGCACAATACGGCGGGCTCAAGTCAGCTCAAGATTGCGCATCAAGATGCAACGATAACGGAAAGTGCCTCCGCGCTGTTTTTGTGGCCAATGGCGGTTGGTGCTACTTGAAAGACCATGCTGCTCATGGCACGTGGACAAGCGCGCCATACACTACAGTCCGGTACATAAGCGCCAATCCCGCCACGCAGGGTCAATGGTCAGCTTTGGTCACCTTGCCGGTCATTCCCGCAGCTCTCTACGCGGTGCCTGCATACCCAGATTCGTCCCGACTACTCTTCTTTTCTTCTGCCTCGCCCACCATATTTGGGGGTGGTGGCAAGACGATTTACGCAGACTACAACTACAGAACGGGCGCGATTTCACAACGAACAATTTCGAACACTCAGCACGATATGTTTTGTCCAGGAATGTCACAGCTGGGAGACGGTCGCATTGTCGTTACCGGAGGCGACAATGCGGAGATCACCTCAATCTACGATCCGGCCACCAACGATTGGACACGCGGGCCTAACATGAAGATCTCTCGTGGCTACCAGTCGCAAACAACGCTCAGCAATGGCGGGATCTTCACTATTGGAGGTTCTTGGTCTGGAGGAAACGGCGGGAAGAATGGAGAGATCTATGATCCCAGCTCAAATACTTGGACACTACTTAACGGTGCCAGCGTTTCCAACATGCTCACCGCCGACAAAGCAGGATCGTATCGCGCAGATAATCACGCCTGGTTGTATGGTTGGAAGAATGGAAGTGTGTTTCAAGCCGGTCCAAGTGTCAAGCAGAACTGGTATACAACCACCAACGGCGGTTCAGTCCAGCAAGCCGGTACGCGTAATTCCGGCGACCAGATGTGCGGTATCACTGTGGTAAGTTGCTTGGTCTTAATATGGTTCATACCACTGTTAGATACATACGCTGACTCATGGCAGATGTTCGATAATGGCAAGATTTTGTCTGCCGGCGGCAGTCCCAACTACGACGACAGTGATTCTATCACGGCAACGTACATTACCACTATATCTGATGCCTCCCAGGCAGTGAAGAACGACCAGGTTAGCAACATGAACTACCCTCGCATTTTTGCGAATGCTGTCGTGCTACCCGACGGCACTGTTCATGTCACTGGTGGCCAGACACACGGCAAAGGCTTCGCCGACGACAACGGGGTTCTTAGCTCTGAGCTCTTCAATCCTATGTCTAATTCATGGACTATCATGGCTCGCGAGTCCGTCGCACGCAACTACCACTCGGCTTCCGTCTTGCTCGCCGACGCCCGTGTGTGGTCCGGTGGCGGCGGTCTCTGCTATAACGGCGGAGACTGCAGACCAGGTAGCGACCACCCTAATGGACAAATCTGGAGTCCCCCTTACCTGTTCAATTCCGATGGGTCGGCCGCTGCTCGCCCTGTCATCAGTTCTGTTTCCTCTACCACTATCCGCGCTGGCGGCTCTTTCACTGTTCAGATGGGCGATAGTAATAGTTACAAGTTCTCCCTAATACGTCTCGGATCCGCTACCCACTCTGTTAACACGGATCAACGCCGTATACCGGTCTCTAGTACGAAGAACGGGAATTCCTGGTCAATCACGCTGCCGAGTGATTCGGGAGTGATGATCCCTGGTAGTTGGCATATCTTCGCGCTGAATGGCAATGGAGTCCCGAGCTGGGCGAAGACAGTTAAGATCACGAACTAACTAAGGTATCAGACTACGATATTAGCTATCTTATATCAAAACATGGCTTACTTGTCGCACTAGAATTGTACATAGACCGTCCCTCCTAACTGTAAGCTGCTCACGCGAGATCTCCCACGCTGCAAGCGACTCGACTACCACAATGGGTGCATGCGCTGGTTGCGAGACATAGTCTCTCACAATAGTAGCTCGTGCCCCCTTAGGAATCTTCTACGACAAGTAATGCGACAACGGGTTAGGGTTAGGGTTAGGGTTAGGGTTAGGGTTAGGGTTAGGGTTAGGGTTAGGGTTAGGGTTAGGGTTAGGGTTAGGGTTAGGGTT